AACGCCGAACAAGCAACATGATTGGGAGGAACGGCGTGAAAAGACGGCGTGGGCTGGTCTAGGTCCCCACCCTCACCCCCTGCCCTGTCCTCTGTTTGCTACTCAGCTGCCGACGAGGTGGCTCTTGCTGTCAGTCGCCCTGTTTGCCCGCCTGCCCCGCAGACAGAATCATTTCTTTCTCCTTGCGGGATGGCAGACCTTGACGCCATGTTGACTCATCTTGTTGGACACATCCAGGGAACGCGCAGCCCGGAAGGGAGGGAGAGGGGAGGGATTACTCTAAAGATTGCCTCTTTGCTGTTGGTGTGAGATCCATTGTTAATGGCAATGATTAAGGTTAATAGTTTGTATTCAGATCATTCACACTGTACCAAAAAAAGTCAATGTCCTACGTTTGTTAAAAGGAAGTCAGCACAGAAGAGAAAGGCCAGTGCTTGCTTGACGCTAAGGAAAATATTCCTGGGTTTACTCAAGGATAATTTAATTCTTCCCATAAATCATAAAAATGTCATTACTCATAAATTGAGGCTGGAGCTGCCTGAACACTGGGGATGTGCCGTAATCTTTTGGCCACCATTTCCCATCTCTCTCAACCAGAACACAAGGGTGGCTCTTCCAGCTGAGCTGCCTGGGCCGCCCCAACACACGCCCGAGGAGGGGTCCGAGCCGGGCTTCGGGGTGCAGGGCGCTCTGGCCACGACAGGGCATCTGGTCCCAGTGCACGCAGCCTCGGACCCAGGAGGCCAAGCTGCTGCTTCCGGCCCCGCCCCCGCAGCCCAGTCAGCGTGGTGCTTGGGTGCTCAGGAGCCTGCGGACGCACAGGGTGGGCGGGCTCACAGGGTCCAGGATGTGGAGGCCTCATCAATCAACCTATTGATGGGGGTTCTGTTTACGTTTGTAACAATTTCTTTTTTTAAAAAAAGAAAAACAGCTTTATTGAGGTATATTTTACATGTCATAAAATGCATCCATGTCAAGGATGCACATCAGTGATTTCTGGTAACTTGACCACGTGGTGCAGCTTCATCATAAATTAGTTTGGGGACGTTGTCTTCCCCCCTGGGAAGGCCCCTCACGTCCCCTTTCAATGAATCCTCCTGTTCTGTCCCTTAGCCCCGGGTAACCGCTAATCTATTTTCTGTCTCTTTTGTAATAACGTAGCTAATTATTTGCTGATTAGAGAAACCATAGTTTCCTATTTTAGGTAATTTGAGTGACCCCAAAAAGAAAAGTGGACCAGAGTGAAGGCCAGAGCCCCCGAGCTGGTCCGGCAGCCAGAGCTCTCTGTCCCTGCTCCGTCGGCCGGTGGGTCCCCATGTCTGCGCCTTTCCAGCCGCTGCACCCGGTTCCTTTCTAGCCCAGAAGGGACACCCTCCTCCCCATCTTGCAAGACAGACTTTCCCTGTCTCTTCAAGGTCTTTCTCACATAACCCCTGATCAGCCAAGATTTCCCTGGTGTCCAGACTAAAAGTAATTTTCTCTTCTTGGAAATTCCACGGTGTTTTATTTATGACTCTTGGAGTTTGCATACTGAAATGTGTGCTTTATTTCCCTGGTTGAACCGTCAGTTCCCGAAGACGGAGGTCCTAATTCATCTTTGTCTCCCGACCCTCTGTCTATCCGTGGCCTCATCTCCCGCTGCTCCCAAAAGCCCGTGCGCCTCCCGCGGACCGTGCATCACGGTTTTGATGGCAGTTTAACAGCGTGTCACCGCTGGGCCGGGGGCCCTGCCACCGGTGCTGTTTTACGATTTCACTCTGGATAGCAAAGCTGAGTTTAACTCTTCTTTCCCCGATACCTGTTGTCAGCACCTTAGTTCTAATTTGAATTGAATAACAGAGTCTTAAAATAGATGCCGAACCAAGTTGTGACTGATGATGGTCTTCGCTCCTGCCATGGAGAATCTTGTTTTTCTCACTCATCCACCTATACAGTCTTGCTAACTCACACCCCTCATAAAAACCTACGAGAGTTTTACCTAGAATTAATGATTTTTTAAAAATCCTCACCCAAGGATTTATGTATTGATTTGAGAGGGAGAGATTGCAGGGGAGACAAACATCAATGTGAGAGAGGAACATTGATTGGCTGGTTGCTTCCCGTATGCACCCCGACCGAGGCTCGAACCCGCAACCTTTTGGTGTAGGGGGCGACGCTCTGACCAACTGAGCTGCCTGGCCAGGGCCTAGAACTGCGAGTTTTCATCTGCAAACACCTTGTTCTTTCCTTCTGCCAACCCACTGTGAAGTGAGCCGTTCTGAGCCTTTGGCTCCGTCTCCCACCCTGAGCAGCTTGGGCCCCCCTTCAGCTGTTTGCACGCGCCCTTTCTGGCACGTGGCTCGTCCAAGATGGCGCTGCATCGGCTCCTCTCCGGGGCATGCTCGCAACGCAGCCTGCCTGCACCCCTGCCTGCAGCCATGGCCGACTCCCTTCCCATGCCCAGGTCGGCCTGCCTCACTGCCTCCGAGCCGTTGTTTGTTTCTACAAGGAGCCGTTGGTATTGGTGCAGAGTAGAAGATGCTGCACGCGATCTTAGACCTCCTGTTTCTTCCTTCGTGTGTATATGTGTGCTCTTCCTCTGAGGTGGCGCTCCTCCATTTTGTTCGTCGCCATGGTAGCCATTCGTGGCTGCCTACAAAGTAGGTGCTCAAAAGCTACGCGATGAGCGAGCTAACAAAAGAATGCGTGCATTTGCTGTGCGATGCAGGGTTTAAAGATGCTGATGTCCTCGAAGCCTCTCCGGATCGTCTCCCTGTGTTAGATGCTCAGGAAATTTTTTAAGTGTATTGACTTATGCAGCCAATGTTCATGAAGCTCCTGCCCTGGGCCAGGCCCTGTGCTCGTGCTCTGGGGACGGAGCAGCTGGAAGCTGCCTCTGGGGCATGTGCCGTGGGGTTGATAACACAAATGCAAGGCAGAACCCATCACAGGCCTTAAAGGATTTTTTAAAAGAAAGTGTTGGAGGACGAGGGGCGGGAGGGATCACTTCCTGCTGGGAGATTTGGGGTGTTCATGGAGAAGGTGGCATCTGAGTCCGTCCCGATGGATGGGAGGTTCCGAACAGCGGGGACATGGGGGCATTTTGCAGCTGGGCGGATGGAACAACTCGGGCACACGCGTAGGCTCGGGAGCAGGAAACAGCGGAGAGTTCCACCTGACCAGGTGTGAGGACCAGCCGTGGCCAACGAGGCTGCGTTGTGGAGGGTCTCCGTGCAGGCGTGAGCTTGGTCTCTGTTAGGGACAGGGTTCTGGGTGAGCTGGCAGCACTACAAAGGAGGGGCCAGGGCTGGCCGAGAGAGAGCACGGTGGCCAGGGGCGGGGGGCTGTGTCCTCCGCCCAGAAAGGGGGCCACTGGGACCCGCCGAGGGACAGGCGGTGACAGCAGGCGTGGAGGGGGCGAGTGTGGGGACAAGCGCGGAGCTGAGGAGAGGTGACTCCTGGTGAGGGCCGAGGAGGCAGGGTGGGCGCAGGGCGGCCTGGCCGGCTTGGGCTCACCCAGCTCCCGGCAGGCGAGATGGGGGCACCGCGGCAGAGCTGCGCCCACGCTTGTGTGGACGGCCACGCAGGTCACCCCGGGAACCCGCGCGGCTCGTGGTCCGAGGTTATTCGCCAGCACGGCCTCTTCTTCGTCGCCGTTAGTCGCCCACATGACCTCGCCTTCCCCTCAGCTTTTTGGAATTGAAAGACTTAGTTTGCGGGCGTGTGCTGGCGAGCCCTGACTGGTGACCCGGCACCTCGGAGCGATGCCGGGTGCATGACCAACGTTGACTTGTTTAAGCAGGACAAAAGTTACTCACACAAAGGCATTTCTAAAACGAGAGTCATAAATTGACCATGTATTTGGCAGGGTTGGTGGCCCGTTCCGGCATTATCACATACCTTACCCATATTTTTCAAGTAAACGTCTTTCTCCATTTTGACATTTAATATACTGAAGAGCGTATAGAAATCAGCTCCCCTGTTGCCTTAAAAACCGTGCCTATATTTAGCCTTCCTATTCCAGGTAATTATACTAAAAATACAATTTTTCTTTGTTCGATTGTAAGAAGGGATGCGTGAGATTCTGGAGTTCTTAGTCTTGTGTGTCTCCTTTCATGGGCCTGTAACCTGGGTGCGCGTAACCCACAGGGCCACACGGCACAGGCTGGCAGTTGTGTTGACTTACGGGACCGGCTGAGCCCAGGGACTTGAGAAGGTAGACCCGGCTCATTTTCTCGCTGGGGAGGGACCCGTGCAGGGTTCAGGGCCCCGGGTCTGTGCCTGAAGCCTCCCCCAGCCAAGGCTTGTGCCCTTCAGCTCCTGGGGTTTGCCGGTGCGGTGGCCTTGCCTTTTCCGGGTGTCCCTGTAGTGTGAGTCGGGAGGGGTGGATGCCGCTCCGTTTAATCCACGGTGACAACTTGTGAAGCCGCCAGTCTTTTGCCTTCTCACTTCAAGGAGAAGAACGGGGACCTCAAGACTCTTGCCTCTCCTTTCTCTGTTGGTCTCCTTTCCCCTGAAACACGCTCACCAGCCTGCTCACATGTGCGCACACGTGCACACTCACACACATTCATAGGAGGCAGACGGCCCTCAGTTCTGTTTACCATTCAGGTTCCTGCTCTGGGAAACTGGGGTCTGCCTGGAGGCTGAGAACAGAGCGAAGTGCAGCCCAGAGCCTCGGGAGGGGCCCGGGGTGAGAGCAGGAGGCAGCCATTCCTTCTCTCCCGGTGCCCTTCGGTGGCTCTTGCGGCGATCGGTTAGAAATGTTTTTACCTTCGTTGTAATGGTTATCTTCCTGCCATGGGTAGCTCAGTAATGGAAAATCCACGTGGAGAGCAGACGCAGACGTGTCGCTGGCTGTGTGTTCAGTGGTGGGAATGGACGGTAAGGCCGCCGACCTGCCTGTGCCGCCAGGTTTGCAGCGAGGGCCGCTGTCACCGGGGAGCCTCCCACGCCCTCCCTGTGCTGCCTCGGGATGGAAAAGGGAACGGAGAATAATCCTTTCTGTCTTTGTTTTTCAGATTCAGAACATGAACAACATCATCTCCTTCCCTCTGGACAGTTTGCTGAAAGGGGACCTCAAAGGAGTCAAAGGGGTATGACGTGACACCCCCGCCCGGGGGCGGGGGGCCGGTGCGCGGAGCCGCACAGTCACGGCCTGTCGGGCGCCTGCCGCGGGGCCCCGTGCTGCCCTGGCACCACCCCTCAGCTCTCGCTGTGGTCACTTGTGGCCTTCCTGGGCGTCCTGCGGGTGTTCTGGACGTGGTCGGGGCGGAGGACCAGCAGGAAAGGGGTCTGCCCTTTGGGAAGCTGTGCTTCTCGGGCTCCAGTCTGGCTTTCCAGCTGGTGTGCCACTGACTGAGCCCTGGGGACGGGACGCCCTGCACCGGGAGGCACGCGCTGTCCCGCCGAGGGTGCCCGCTGCTGAGGGAGGGCTGCGCGTGAACACAGAGTACGAGCTGCCTCCGGGTGTGTGAGCGAGGAGCGGGCGAGGCCCCGTGGCGTGCGGGTGCCCGCGGCTGAGCACCGCGTTGCTTCCGCCCAGAGAGCTGCGCCCGAGTCCTCAGGAGGCGGGATGCGTGGCCCGGATCCGACGGCGTGCGCGGGCACTCCGGGCCCCTCCGGGAGCCCAGCTTGGCTGATCCCAGGGACGCCTCTGGGGGCGGAGCCTGGGCAGGGAAGGCGGGGCCCACTGAGCCGTTCAGACACCAGGGGCCTTCCCATCGTCCTCGTGGAGGCCGAGAACACGTGGGTCAAGTTAGCCAGGAAAATGGGAGGGCCGGGCTCACGAGGCAGAGGGAGCACACGGATAAATGCACAGGAGGCGTTGGGGACCGGAGTCGGCGGAGGGGCCTACGGGGAAGGGCAGGGCCAGATCGGGGAGGGCCTTAGAGGCCACGCTGCAGAGCTGGGGCCTTGTCATGCGCCAACGAAGAGCCCCGCCCCCCCAACATAAAGCCCTGCCCCGCAGAAAGGGTTCTGTCTCCCAAAAGAACCCTGACTACGGAATAGAACGGTAGCTCAGTACATTGTTCAGCCAGACTTAGTATCCAGTCCCCGGCTCCAGACACAAGAGTGGAATCGGGGGCCATCAGGAGGTGAATGGCTTTCACATTGTTGGGGCCCCTGCGGGGTTACCTGTCTTGAGGGGATCCCTGTACTGGTAGGAAAAGTCAGAGAGAGAGCAAGAACTTGCAGGCGCAGTGTGATGTGGGTTTAACTGTAGAATAACCCCGGGCAGAGGGCAGCGTGTGAGTGAAACTGGAGCCAGTACTTGCTACATTTTGGGTGACGGGCGTATTCAACGGTTCTCGCTCCCTTTTCCCTGTATGCGTTTGGTATTTGAAAATACAGTTTTCAAAAGGAAGGAAGAAAAGGGAAGGCCACCAAAGCCTGTGCTCCAAGCTCTTTATGTCTCTCAGGATCACAGACGCCATTTATTACAGAAATCAGTGCCCCTTCCAGAGCTCGCCTAGGGAGACGTGCGTCGTGCCCAAAAGTTAAGTAATGATTAGCCCCGTGTAATTGATGCCTCTCTGTTTACAGGATCTGAAAAAGCCTTTTGACAAAGCTTGGAAGGACTATGAAACCAAAATGTGAGTGTTCTCATTTTAAAAAGTAAACATAGGTAATTTGAGATTTCATTGTAAATCCAGCCTTTATTGTTTAATGGTATTGTCTCTAAATAAACTGTAATCCAGGAAAGATTTCACCTAAAACCACGCGGCTGTGGTGTGTGAGGAAGAGAGACGCGTTTGCACCTGGTGTCTGAATTCCGTGATGTTAACCTCTCTACACAAGTTTTTCCCTTGTCCCCTTTATTACGTCCAGATGGTTCCAGAATGTCATTTTCCGGGAAGGTCACTGAAGGAAGTCGAGCAGTTTTTCTCCGTATCTCGTTCCCTTTTTCCCCATTTTATCTGCTGGCGAGAGCGGTGCGTGTTTTGGACCCCGTCTGTCTCCCGGGTGGTCCCTGAAAGCCAGCGCTCCTAGTCTGCGCCTGCATTTCCCTGCGGCACCAGTGCCTTTGGCTTTAGAAAGGGACAGAACAGAGACTGCAGGCCGCCTCCCCTTTGGCCGCACTTGGTAGCTCCATGGGCCAGGAGCGTCGAGGGAGGGGGTCCATTGCCTTGGGATGACTTGAGGCGGTTGTCATCTTGCCAGTCACAGTTCCTCAGTCCTACAGCAGAGGGGACTGAGCTGGCTAGAACGGGGCTGGGGATTGTGGGGTGATGGTTTCAGTTATTGCGAATAGTAATTGAGGAATAGAAGACATTTTTAAATGCCCTGTGTTTGCTTTGTGATGATGTGCATTGGACGTCGGAACTTCAACGTGAAACCTAGTGAAACGTTAAGAAGAAAGTAGGAAATGTTAAGAAAGACATTCCAGATGGAACTACAAGTGCTGAATTGGTTTAATTTTGCTTTTTGTTGTTTTACCAGCCTTGGGTATCTATTAAGTAGCGAAGGATTGCAAAGCTCAGACCAAGGACCATCAAACCCTAGATATTTGTCCCATCCACAGAAATCCGTCATTTCCGTCCCCAGAGCTGCTTTGGTCCCTGCGGTCTGGTTTCTCGCCTGGCGCGCGTTTATCTCGAGGCACAGAGGGCGTGCAGACCAGGATGCCTGGAAGGCTCCCCGCTTGCCCCGACTGCCAGCAGCCTTCCCCGCATCCCGCCCAGTCCAGTAAGCGGGAAGGGACCGCTGCCCCTGCTCAGATAGGGAACTGCGACTCGGTGGCGCAGCTGTGGCTGCGCCAGGCAGGAAGGGGCTTCTGAAGAGGGTGCCTGAGAGAGTCTCCTGTTCCAAAAGGGCGGTGGGGTCCAATCCTGTAAAATCAACACACACAGAAGGGGTGGGGACAGGATTACTCACGAAATCCCAGGAGCGGGGATTGGGGGCCCAGGACGCTTTAGTGCTGGAAAGAATCCGGAATAAGTGGCGTCTATAACTCGTCACCCCTGTGCGCCCGAGGCTGGTTTATTCCAAGAGGCCTTGAGATGCTCAATTAGCAGAGTTAAGACGTCTTTGAGGTTCCCAGGCACTAGCTCGGTACCCGATTAGTACAGGAATGGCTGGCCTCCGGACAGGGGTCCCCATCCCCTTGGGGTGCTGACAGGGGAGCCTTGGAGAGGTGTCACTGTAGTTTCAGGGACCGCAGAGCCCTCCAGTCCCGCTCCCCACCCTGGTGCACACCCAACAGCACCCCCACCTGACGGGCGTGTGTTATTTGTAATCTTACTCAGTTGCTGAGTACCTACTGTGTGCCCCGCCCAGTGCTTCAGCGCAAAAAGCAAGAGTTAGAAACTGAATTTCTTGCTTCTTTTTGAAAACCACCTCCCCAGTGTTGGGGAACCCTGGAACCCGACCATTTTGTGTTGGACAACTTTCTAAGAAATCCCACCTACGTCTTCCAGTGCCGTCTGCGAGGGTCACCAGAAAACGTGCCCCGCTCCGTGGCAGCCTTTCCGTTTTTGAGTGCTTCCTGTGGTTTTTGTTTTGTGTCCTTTGCTTGCGAAGGGAAGGCCAGTTACCATTGCAAGCGCTTCCTCACTGAGGCGGCGTCACACCTGAGCAGTTTCTTTGCACGTGTGGCAGTCGGTCCGTGTGGGGCCGTCGAGGTCCTTTAGCCAGGAGCTGGAGAAGCTGAGAAGGTAGCTTTCCTTCTCCAGCGCGGACCCGTCCTGGGCAGGACTCCTCGAGTGAGGCATGGAGGGGACGCAGAGGGGAGCGGGGACAAGGGGGGGGGGATCTGTCACGGCCCTCACAGTGCTCGTGGGCCGCTCCCTGGGCACCGGGCAGGGCGCCGTAGCTGGAGGGACCTTGGGCAGGGCAGGCCCTGCCCCCTCCGAGCCTGGTGTGGCACCAAGTGGGTGCTCAGGAAGTAAACACGCTGCCGAAAGGCCGAGTGTGACGTTTCTGTGACCAAACGCGTTTTCTGTCCCTCACGTTAAGGGGCTGCCCTGTCTGCAAAGGCTCGGGGCGCGCTTGCGCCCTGCAAGGCCGCCGGCCTGGGCCGCGGGCGGAGAGGCGCCCAAGTCATCCTGGCCTCTTCCCCCGCAGAACCAAGATAGAGAAGGAGAAGAAGGAGCACGCCAGGCTGCACGGCATGATCCGCACCGAGGTCAGCGGGGCCGAGATCGCCGAGGAGATGGAGAAGGAGCGCCGTTTCTTCCAGCTGCAGATGTGCGAGGTGCGGTGCGGGCGGTGCTGGGGCTTCCCCGCTTGGGTCCCGTGCGCGTCCCCGTGCGCGTCGAGGCCTGACCTCCGCCCGCGGCCTTAGAGAGCCCCAGACGCATTGTGGGATTCCCTTGTCTGGTTTCATGACGGGAGGGGCACCAGGCCCAACATCGGGGGGCACTGTCATTGCCGTGTGGGGTGGGCACCTGCTGTGGGTCCTTTTCCTCCTCGGGATCACGTAGGTTAGGGTACACAATTTATTTTACTGGAAATACACGACCAAGCTCACGCCACTGCACCGGTGCCGAGTGGTTGGCCGCCTGGTCTGTGCCGATCATGCCAGGGTGGCCCTTGGCCCCGCCCCATGGAGCTGGCAGGCAGCGGAGCAAGGCCCTGCGTGTGCGGTCAGCACGGGTGGACCTGGCAGGCAGTGGGCTTGGAACTCACAGGAGGACGCCTCTGACGGCGGCTGTCGGTGTCGGCCCAACAGACGGCCTGGCTGGGACTTCCCGTGGGGGAGGAGCGCGTGGGGAGCAGTCCCCGGAGCCCAGCCTCCGAGCACGAACAGATGGTGCCGTTCAAACTGTCCCTCCGCGTCCTCGAACGGAGGCTGAGGCCTTGGAAGGGCTGGGCGTTGTTTGGCTGTTCCGTGTTCCTAGTTGCCCAGGATCTGACCCAGGAGAGTGGCTTTCAGGCTTTTATTTTAAAGCCATGGAACTTTTTTCCTTCCGAAGGAATTTTATGAAGACATTTAGTACACCCCATTGAGCTTCAGTCGATAGAAACGGCATGAGCGATCCTGTCTTGCCTTCTTATTACAAAAATAATACATACTTTTAAATATTGGTCAATATAAAAAATATATATACATGACATCAAAATCACCCCCAGTGTTACTTCCTGGAGATAGCCACTTTGACATTTAGCGAGACATTTCCCACCATCCCAGCGTGTGCCTTCCCAGACACGCTTGTGTGAAGCAGCCGTCGCCTGCGGACACAGTCCTGCAACTTGACGCTGTCACTCGGTGTGGACGGCCCCCTTTCTGTGCGGGAGGCTCTGCTTTAGCGGCTCGGCGGCTGGGAGCATTTTTCGCTTCTGTAAATAAGTCTGCAGTGAACCTTCCTTCCTACTCATCATTGTAAACTTTTATGGCCGCCCTCTTAGGGTAAGTTCCTGAGGCAGAATCTGGAGGTCAAAGGGTATGCGCATTTTCAAGTTGGACCCATTGCCTAGGATCTTTAGAACATGTGACCTTTTTGATGCACTGCCAGACGTCTTATTCAGATAACAGTGGATAAATATCAGAATGAAGGAGCAGAGACAAAAGGGAAGTCTGCAGCCAGCCGCCACCCATCTGCACGGGAGGTGGGGGGCAGGCCCGGGGGGGCCCTTGACCCCGAGTCTCTCAGGTCGCAGCTGAGATGCCTGTGTGGTCAGCGGGGCCAGCAGGCTCCTGGGCCGTCCGGTCTCAGAGATGGCCCATTCTCGGGGTTCTTTCTTCCATATCCCGACCGGGCAGGGAGGGGAATTTATGGAGTCTTTGTTCCAGAAACCTTTAGCAAAGAACAGCTGTATTTCCGGAGGCTGGTTTTGTGGATCCTGGGGGTTTCCTGATGTCTTCGTGCTCACTGATGAATTCTCCAAGTTAACAATGGCTTTAATTCATTTCAATTTAAACTTGGCTTTTATAACGGTCACATTTTTTAGAAGTATCAGGGAGGTGCCCTAGGTTTAGAGACATGCTAACAGAAGTTTCTCAACTACAGAAGATTAGCAGTGAGCGTCCCCGTCCCCGATGATGAGTGAGCTGCCTGAAGAAAGGGACTCGGGACAGGGAGGCCCGCGGCAGGAATGGTCACGATGACAAAGTCCCATTCATGCCAGTCCTCCTCATTCTTCTGCGGGGCGAGAGCAGACATTTCTCCCACACCGTCTGATGATGAGGAGCTCTTGGCACTTAAAACTAAGCATTTAATTGCCCGTCTGTCAGATCATTCACGTGGCACCAGGCTACAAGGAACACTTAGTTATGGCTTTTGGGAAACACTGAGCCTGCGCCCCCAGTGGAGGGCGTCCAAGAAATGGAAGTGGTCTCCCCTCAGGAGCTCACATTAAGCTCGTATTTGCTTCTGTCTGTGACGTGCTTTTTTTGTTGTGTTTTTTTTTTTTAACAGTATCTGCTGAAGGTCAATGAAATTAAGATTAAAAAGGGAGTGGATTTACTTCAGAATCTGATCAAATATTTTCATGCCCAATGCAAGTAAGTGCTTTGTCATGATGTCATTTCAACGATCTCTGTCTTACTGGCCAGTTCCCGTGGGTCTGCAGTATGGCACGGAGGGGAGTCGGTGCTCATTTAAAAACCAGCGGTGGGAGGGCGGGAGGGCGGGCGCAAGCCACCGCGCGGGGGAGCCTTGGAAACACATTAAGGGGAGGAAGCCGGACAAGAGGCCATTCGCTGTGTGGTTCCTTCTGTGTGAAAGTTCAGGGACGGGCACATCCACAGACAGAAAGCAGCTTCACGGTTGCCAAGGCTCAGGGGAAGTGGGGGGTGGCTGCGAATGGGAATGAGCTTTGTGGGGAGTGATGAAAATGTCCTGGAATTAGCGCTGGCGAGTGCCAAACTGCGTGGAAATACTAAAAACCACGGAATCGTATACGTAGAAGGGTGATTTTTATGGTCCGAGAAGTATATCTCAATCACAAAACCAATAATATAAAAATCTACAGAAGGTATCATAGACATTTATCTTTGCCCTTTTTGCAGAGGGACGATCTATTTTGCTCAGATGCTGTTTGTTAGAGAAACGGGCGGTGTTAATGCGGTGCATGATGTCAAGAGCATGTTTCAGGGTATCACGTGTCTTGTAAGGCACATGGCAGCACAGCAGGCTGTGTGCAGAAGACGAGGGGAAAGGCCCACGTTCGAGGGCGGCCCCCAGGACCCCCGCTTGCCGCACACGTTAGCCCGCCACATGCCGGCCCTCCCCTCTCAGCCTCGCTGTCTCCCCTGCCCCTCGTCCTGCTTGTACGGCCTGACCCCTGGCTGCTACTGTAAACAGGCTCCAGTTCATTCCCTCTCTTTTATTAAGCATCTGCCATGTGTCGAGCACTGTCCTCGATGCTGGGGATACAGTGACGTCCACCCAGGCCTGGTTCCCGCTCAAGTCACGGACGGGGTCGGGCTGGAGCCAACAGACTTATGGTTGGATATTTAAAATGTGTTGCAGCCCTGGCTGGTGTGGTTCCATGGACTGAATGCCGGCCTGCGAACCAGAGGGTCACTGGTTTGATTCTCGGTCAAGGCACCTGCCTGGGTTGCAGGCCAGGTCCTCAGCAGGGGGTGCTCTGGAGGCAACCACATATGGATGTTTCTCCCCCTCTCTTTCCTCCTCCCCTGTCTCTAAAAATAAGTAAATCTTTCCAATGTGTTCCAAAGTGTTGGACTCTTAGAAAGAACAAGACGGAAGAACCGAATTGAGATTAAGATGGAGGACAGGAGGTTTTTTTTCCCCTTTTTTGCTCCTTGGTACTGACGACGTCCCTGGCAGCTAGAACGCAGCCCCTGGCACGTGGGAGGAATTCAGACGCAGCTTGCATGGGCTGCGGGCCCCTGTGAGGAGACGCGTTCTGAGATCTGAAGGGTGGGGGAGCTAGCAGAGCAGGGGCAGGGCAAGAACATTGTCCCGTTGTCCCCTTTTCCTAGAAGGTCGTTCTGTTCCCTCTGTGTCTTTCCCCAAAGTCTGCCTCTCCCTCAGGCCTCATTCAGTGTAGCTGCCACTTTGAAGTTGTTCTGCTCGTTCCCTGATGCAATTGCTTCTCCTCCTGCATCTCCACGGTGGCGCCTTTCCTAGCCTGTGACATCGCCCCGTGAACTATGTATTCTTCGGGAACGGGGCCACAGGCAGGATGGACTTCTTCACGCTGCAGCGCGTGGCCCGTTTGCCTGGCAAACCGTTGCTGCGGCCACTCACACTGCGGAGTCACTGTGGACTCTGCTGTGGAATTCTTAGTCCCGCTTTGGTGACGTGGCTTCTCTGAGGTGGCCGGGGTCACTCGGCAAAGGGAGAGGTGCTGTGTGAGTCATCCTGGGTTAAAAGAAGAGCACCGCGCTGGCAAACAGCCGCACAGGGTGGCAGAGACCCGCTCATCTGCAGGACCGCCGGCACAAGTGATTTTACAGAGACTCGGAACCCTGCCTTAGCCATTACCACGCAGAGTCCCTGCTCTGTTCTTATCCTTGTCACCGTATGTCAGGCAGTTTAGGAAGTGGGTCGCTTCCTCACTGATACTTTATTTTTAAGAAGCTATTCTCGGATTTCCTTTTTCTTCTTTATTTTGCCCAAACTGATCAGTTGGGTAGCAACAGACCACTTGTGGAAAGTGAACTAGTTGGCCTTTTATGGGCATAAGCTCAGTAACCTTTAAAACCGATGCCTCCTCCAGGACTTCCTTTTTGGATGAGTGTGTGTGTGTGTGCGCGCGTGTGTGTGCTACATGCTCTTCAAATCGTTCCAAGACATTTGACTGTTTCAGTCCATTTGGGGGACAAAATGTGGAGCCCGAGTGACTCAGCCATTGGACAGATGAGCCAGTGGCCGTGCCATGTTTATCCTTCTGGGGTTCCTTGGTGTCCCCTACTTGTCACCCCAGGAGCGTGGCCGTGCATGCAGAGCCCTGTGCCCGTGGGCAGAGGTGGGGCTCGCCATCCGGAAAGCCGCTGGCCTTTGCGGGTGTCGCGAGGCCTTCCGGGTGCGCCAAGCGCTGGGTGCTGTGAGCGCTGGGTGCTGTGGTCGCTGGTCACCTTAGAACTACCAGAGAGGCGTTACTTTGCTTCCGACTTGAAGCATGCTTGAGGCGTCCTTTGTGGTCTTTGTCTTTTATTTCATTTAAGGAAAGAATTGGCATCTCCACCTAGTTCCTGAACCCTACCTTCTGGTGGGTCTAGAAATAAAGCCGTCTTGAGAACAGTAACAAGAAAACCGACCAGAACAGTCATGTTGTAAACGGTGTGCAAGAGTGTTGAAGTGCCTTGTTCTTGGCAGCCCCCTGCTGGGAGCCCCAGGGGCACAGAGACGGGGGCTCCCGGGCCCAGCGCCCCAGGAAGCTGGTGCCGGGGGCAGGGCGGGGCGGGGCGGGGCGGGGCGCAGCGGGCAGGTGGTCAGCGGCCCTCAGGGCGGTGCGTGTGCTGTCATTGGGCCGCCCGGCTTGCGGAGATCTTAGAGGCCAAGCCTCAGCGAGTATATCCTGAAGGCTTGAGAATGAGGCCACGCAGGCTAGGAAATGTTTAATAGAAAACAAATTTGACATTCAGTAATATTGATGGGAACCATTGTTTGATGGAAGAGCTTGGAAAAGTGACAGCAGGTTCGGCCCAGGATGTGCCAGGGCCCTGGGCTGGGCCGGTACAGCGGTGGCTGCAGCCGGGCGGCCCCTGGGCTCCCCGCTTTGGTGCGTGCCCTGCGGCCAGGGCCGACCCCTCTGCAGGTGTGCCTTTAATTTGTGTGTTTGTCCCTAGTACACCGTCCGGTGTCACACTGGACACGATGTCTGTGAGGAGACACAGCTCTCTGGGTGCTGGACTCCGCGGCAGGGCTCTCTCGCCGCAGGGACAGGTGCCAGGCACGGAGGCGCTGACAGCTGGGCACCTGCCCCGGGCCCAGCAGCCAGGCCGCTTCCCCGGTGTCTCCTGTGATGCCTCCCTGTGCCCTGTCCCGGTGTTTGTCTTCTCTCTCTCTGTCTCTGCCCCCTCCCTTCTCCTCCCTCCCCCTTCGCTCCCTCCCCTCTTCATTTCACAAGAATTGGAAGCAATTAAGGAAGTAGTTATGTAAAAATAAACACACGCGGTCTGGCACAAAGAGCGCCCCTTTTTGACTACAGTCTTATCACGACGTCATAAGCACGGGATTCTGTGGCGTCACGCTATCACACTCCAGCCCACCCTGCGACATTTTAGGTGAAACGTTCAAGTTGAAACTATACATTATTACACCCATAGCATCACCCCGCCCACCACACTGAAGCAGGCGTGACGTCTGCCGGATGCCGTGTAACTGAAACAAAACAGAAGAACCAGGCGTGTTCATGACCTGAGGGGAAGGTTCAGTGTCCAGTCCCTGTCTCTGTGCGTGTTCTCGACGCCGCCTCTTCCGTTTAAAAGGAGCGCCCGCCCGGTGCTGGCCGGCGTGCGAGGCGCAGAGGCGCACGGGACGCGGCACCTCTGCCCCACAGTGGGAACGCGCACGCGCAGAAGCCAGTGGCTCTGGCACGCCCGCTGGGTCAGGGCACCTCATATGCAGGAGCGAGACTCTGAAGTAATTGATGGTTCTGTCTAAAAACGCAGGCAAGGGAATCCGGAGAGTCGGGCTCCCGCGACCTCCCGTAACCAGCTGGCGATGGTTCTGCACCTGCAGCCACTGGGAGGGGCCCCCCTCCCCCCGGGTTACAAATTAAGGGTCACGTGGCTTGTTTCTGCGGCCCCTCCTGTGTGTCAGGTACTCGATGGGGAAGGCTCCGCCATGCCATCGCTGGGCCTAGAGCGGTCAACACCGCCTCCCGTGAGCACGTGGGGAACCCAGCCCGCTGTTTGCGGACGGCCTCTTCGTCTCCAGTGAACGGGCAGATGGGGGATCCTCCTCCTTCCTCCTTAACTTGCTTCTTCAACCCACAAACACTGCGTGCCTGAAAGGGGCCAGGCTTTGTGGACACTGACCGCCTCCGTTCTCAAACTTCAGGTTTAATGGAGGGGTTATCTTTTAAATTATACCAATGAATACATAAGGGTAGCCGTGTTTCAAGCAAAAGACAGTATGCCGCGAGGGACTCCAGCAAGGAGACCTCTTTTACCTGGGGCAGGGCGCCCTGGAAGCCTCTCTAACAGGGTAGCATCTAACTCAGAACTGGAAGGAGTGGGAATCCGCAGGGCGAGCCAGAAAATACACACCGCAGGGAGGGCTTGTTAATGGGCACAAACAGCAGGTGCAAAGGGCCTGTGGCTGGAAGGGTTCCGTGGCCACCGAGGGAACGCCCGGTGTGGCTGGACCCTGGCAAGTGAAACAGGTAAACGGTGTCGAGTGAAGCACAGGGCCAAGTCACCCAGGCACCATCGGCTGTGAACTCTGTCCCAATCTCGCTGGGAAGCGTTGTCTTCATTCCCCCCAAGAGGGTGATATACACAACACGCTTCTGAGGGGGCATGTTGTATATGTAACATCAGCCCACGGTCGCTGCCGGAAAACTTGTCTAGCTCCTGTTGTATTTGGGAATCGCTTGTTACAAATGACTTCATGCGTGTTGAGTTCTGGGCTGTAGAAAGCGGGGTTCCTTTTGATACGTGATTGCGAGCTCTCGGCCACACTGCCCAGCTCCGCAGATGGGCAGGCCATTTGCGCGCGTCGAACTTGCCTAGTTTTTTAGCCCGTGGTCTTTCTCTTTGCCACCTTGCTGTCACCTGTCAGGAAGACTTTCCTTATCTTATTCTCCTGCACTCCCTACTTTTGCGGCCGCAGGCCCTTCCACTCCTGAACTAAAGCCTTTGCTGCCTTTGCCAGTAGCGGCCCGTTTCGTGTTAGAAACTGAAAACTTGGGACTCATTTGAATAGGTCAGGAGAAATCATTTTGGCTCATTGCAGTTCCTCCCCATTCACGCCTCATAGTTGTGTCTTTTAATTCTTGTAATAGCTTCAAGTTCAGTTCATGCAGTCTTTTCCCCCAGGAATTACATAATGGTTTCAGCCTCTCCATCTACCCATCTATCTCCATCTATCATAACAAAATTGTTTTCTATGAAACATGATCTGTGTTGCTTCTTTTTCCCTCCCAGTTTTTTCCAGGATGGACTGAAAGCAGTTGAAAACCTCAAACCTTCCATCGAAACACTTTCAACAGATCTCCACACAGTAAGTAGCTCCCCTGCCACATCAGTGTTGAACCAGGTTTTGTGGTTGTTATTTTTGTGGCTTTATTTGTTTATCCATCACCGTGTGTCTCCCCTCTATGAAACAGTCCTTGTGCAGCAGATGCTTTCACGTCGTTGTTCTGTACAACCTTGTGTTTGCTGCTGGCAGGCCCGGGAGCCAACAGCCCGGCAGTGCCCGGCGGGGTACATGGTCCATGCTTCCGTTCCCGGTCTCGGCAGCGGGGGCAGGGGGTGTTGACGAGCAAGGGGGCGGCTGTCCCGTTGATGTGGGAGTGGCCTGGGACCTCAGGTGTGCCTCTCCCTTTCTGTTTTGTTTTAAAGATCAAACAGGCCCAGGATGAAGAAAGAAGGCAGTTGATACAGCTTCGAGATATTTTGAAGTCAGCGTTGCAGGTTGAACAGAAGGAGGTGAGGGGATTTAACTGTGAAGCGTGGCTATTGGATACTTTGGCTGGAGGCTTCGGGGCTGTGGAAGGCGACATCCCTGTCCACTGGGCACTCACGGTTCCTTCTGAGGCTTCCCGGAGCCGCACGGAAACACGCAGGTGGTTCTGTGAGGGGGTTTTGTAGAACTCCCTGTTGAAGTGAGTTTCATGGGGAGGCATTTACTATCGGCCCGGCCTCCCGGGTAGTGTGTGACCCTTTCTGCTCCGTCGGTCCCTAGACGAGGAGCCTTAGCACCTTGATCAGATAGACGCTCTTTAGTTACGTCACTGATTTTCCACCTGAACTCTGGTTTCCCTGCCTGGTAGACGTGGATGCTGCCCAGGTGGGCATCCGCAGGTAAGGGCGGCTCCTGGGTGTCGCGCCTCTGAGCGCGTGCTCTGCGGACAAGGAGGGCTGGGTTCCCTCGCCTGCGTTCTCCTGGGTGGAAAACCTGGTTCTCAGTGGGGTCTCTTCCATAGAACCCCTGCTAGGCATGCTGGTGCATTCATGGTGATACTTTGTGCTTTAAAAAGTAAATTTTTAGAGTAATGTTGTGATACATTTGCTACAGTGTAGATATTTTAATGTGAAATTTAACACAAGTCCACTTCCTTGTCAGTAAAGGAATGTGTCTAAATGTATTACTTGTGGACTTTAGATCAATAACTCTGTTTAGCTACATAACGGAGTATCAGGTTCCCTGTTGGTAGTTCCTTGTGCTGTGTTTTGCCTTAAGTTCCTGTACTGTAACTGAATATTGTTGTTTCTCTCCCAAATGCATTTACCTTTTGTGACCGAAGTCTAGGAGAGTAAGTAGTTCAGTATTTTAATAAATTGGAGAATTTTGCATGCTTTCTTCATGAACTTCAAAAAATGATTTTTTCCATGTATATATTAACAACTGGAGCATTTTTAGTGTAATCCCCTCTCTTTCAATAGTAGTGGCTTCTATTAAAGGCTAAAAAATCTGAACGCGCACATACTAGTGAAGCAGAATCGTTCAAGTTCACCGTTTACCCATTTGCCGTTCTTTGTGAAAATGAAGCAGCCCCCGCCCCCGCCCCGGACTGTGTCGCTGCCTGCAGCTGGCCTCTGTCCACGCGGAGCCCCGCCCGTCTCTGGGGGCTCCTCTGCCCGCCCGCCCCCATGGTCTGGGTTCCCAGGGCACATTCTGTCCCGGAGGCTTGCCTCGGTCGCCCACACTCCTTCCCCACTGTCGGCTGTGTGTTCAGGGGCACGGATGTCGTTTCTCCAGCGACCCCTGGGGCAGGTTGGGGAAACGCAAGGAGACCCCTTGCGCCTCCTGCGCCTTCCAGACAAGGCGGGCGGGACTGCAGGCCTCGCTGAGCAGGCTCCTGGGGAAGGCGGGCCAGCTGAGCCAGGGAGGGGCGGGCTGAGGTTCTGTGTCCCTGTGGGCCGTTCCCCACAGCCAGCTGACCTCCTCCCTGTCCGGAGAAACACGCACTGACACTTTGATGTTCCCCGGCTGGGAGTAGAAGCAGAAGGAGAAACAAAAGAACATGGAGCGTGGGGAAAAGAGCAGCTTCACTGTCCCTAGAAGACAGGGCCCCCGGTGTGGGAGCCCGTGCGTCGGGGCGGCCGCTGTCCAGCGCGTCGCTGGGACGGCGGGCAGCGCCCCTGTCCGGGGGCGGGAGGGGGGGTCACGCCCGGGAAGCAGAGCTCTGGATGAAAGCAAAGCAGAGATGACGGGCCCCACTAGCTCTGGGCGCTGTGCGTGGGCCATGTTTGCTTTGGCTGCGGATGAGGGGGTTTGGGAAGACGCATCTGTCAGAAAGCTGGGTGTTTCCGGCTTTGCAGAGACATAAAACAAATTCTCCAGCACAGACTAGAAGTCATTATGGCTTGTTATTTTGGGGTTTTGTTGACCAGGCTGTCTGCCCAGATAGCACACAAGGGTCAGGCGAAGCTTTTACTTTAATGATGTTTGCGGACTGAGCTCCCCAGTCTCCTGGTTGGGAACGTGAAGTACAAAATTATTCTCTGAAACACAGAATAGCTTGTTTAGCTCACTCTGCGTTGCTTTTTGAAGATGACGATCCATGAATTGGACAGTCTGTGTTGCAAGGAATCACCAGATGCGTATAAGTTAATTTTGTGCGTTTTAAAATAACTTTTGTGATTGGGGTCCCGTCACGTGCCCCTCCAGCGACAAGGAGAGCTGGCATTCGGGGCGCTGTTGTTCAGGCTCTCATTCCCCTTTTTTTGGATTCTCCTCTGTGACCTAGAAAACTGAAGGCGGGGGTGGTTTTTATTCGGTTTTAGAGAAGTTCTAACTACATAATCACAGCGCATAAAAATTAGGGAGCGTGCCCCAAGGAGGCTGCGCTGCTGGTTGGCAGGAGCCACTCGCCTCGTCCCTGCCTGGAAATCTCAAAGAGCAGTCATGTGGCCGGAGTAAGGATGTGTCTGTCACCGCTGCTGGCTCTGGGCTGCTTCGCGTTGTCACCCTGTGGCGACACTCGGGGAGGGAGACTCGGTCGTTGTGGATCCCAGTGGCCCTCACGCCTCCGAGCCCCAGGCGTCCATGTTTTGTCTTTGATGTTTCTGCTCTCTGTACAGAGGATGCTGCAGTTCGGCTTTTCCGTTATTTTACTCTGAAAACTCTCCGACTTAGAGGAGAGTTGAAAAATTGTCCAGTGAACTGCCTGTGTGTGCACCGTGGTGGTAGCACGCGGGGAAGTTGAAACCCATCCATGCCGCTCACGTTGCGGTGCCGCCTCCCTGTCCGCCTGGCCTCCTGCCGCCGCCCCCACCTCGCGTGCATCCCCGCGGCGGCCTTCTGCGGGGACACGCGTCCCTGTGGCGCCGGCGGGCCCTGTGCCCGGTGCCGGGAGCCCAGCCCTGCGCTGCGGGGGCGGGACCTCACCCCCCGAGGCGGCCTCGCAGGTCTCGCACTGAGGCCCTGCTGACTCCCCCTGGGGAGGGCTCGAGGCGGCCCCCTTTCCCTCAGCTTCGCTTCCCCTCGGAAGGGGTCCTCGTCTGGCAGGACGGGCGGGACAGTGCGCGCCGCCCGGGTGGCCCAGGTCTGTGATGGCGGCCGTGACTCTCTGGACTCGGCTCGTCCGGCCGGGCCCGAGGTGGCCGCCGTCAGCCCCCGGCCAGGGGTCCGCCGCCTACCGGGCACGCCGCCGGGCGGCCCGCGTGGCCTTCGCTCTGCCTCAGTGGGGGGCGCTTTCACTGACTCGCACATGCAGCGACCGCAGTCTTAGCAGTGCCTGAGCCGAGCAGAGCAGGCAACCAGGCACAGCTCTCGCCTCTCCAGGGGCGCCCCATCTGGGGTGGGGCCTAAAAGGCCATTGGGGTGCAGTGTGGCCAGAGCTCTCAGGGAGGTCAGCTCCGGGCAGGGGTGTCTCCCAGGGTGGGTGGGTGGGGGGTCGGGACCGAGGGTTTGGGGGTGATTCAGGGTGCACCTCTCCACCTGCCCCCTCACTCTCTGCCAGGAGGCGCCCCCTGTTGTCCTGGCCTCGCCCTTGGGCTTTCCCGCCACCCTACCAGTGTGACCGGAACCCGCAGACGCCTCACGGGGCAGGTGGTGTCGCCCCACGTCCGCACCCGGGGTCTGAGAGAAGGAAGACCAGCGCGCTTGCACCCGGGGCTGCCCCTGCGAGTCTGCTCGCTCTCAGTTACGTCACGTGACTTTACTGTCTAGTGTCAGATGGAGTCTTGAGAAAATGATCCCGAAGCATGGAGAACAGGTGGTAATGAGACTTGAAAACGCAGATCTCAGACCGTGGCTTGGCGTGTCCTTGGCCACACGTCCGGCAGCCAGGAGGAGGGGAGTGAGGCGGCTGCCAGCCCGCCCCCGGCGGAGGGTCGCCAGGCAGGCACAGGTGACTGCTCAGCCGTCCGTCCACCACAGACAAGACTCGTCTAAACATAGGCTTTCTGAGAGGCGGACGGAGAAGGTGTAAAAGTTTCTTTGTGCTGGTCTGGAGTCTTCGGGAGCGCGGAGATACTGCCCTTGTTCTCAGTAAACCCGAGCATGTGTCATACAGGGCACGTCAGCCCTTCCCCCACCCTGGCTGGGGAGCTCGGACGTTCGGCGTGCCGCGCACCCGGCCGGGACTTCTGTCCTGGCAGGACTCCGTGGCTACCACCTTGTGAGGCCACACGAAACTTAGGAGCCCTGACAGGGCCTGGGAGACAAGAACTTGTCCGGATGTCACAAGGCGGTGGCTGTGGGGGCGTTGACAGGTCTCGGGAGAGCCTTCCTGAAGGTCCGTTAAATGCTCTCTGAGCCGGTCCTTCTAACAAGCCGCCGGCCTCCGCTTGGCGAGGTCCACGCGCTCCAGTCTGGGGTCGTCCTGGGCTCCTAGGGACGCGCGGAGTGCGCTGGGGAGTCGCCGAGAATCGGGGCAGCGTGGTCCCCCCGCCCCCGCCAGTGGCCTCTCTGTGTTAGACCTTCTCCTCCCTGCAAGGAAGGGCTCTTTCCCCTTGGATTACATGCCATTAAATCCAACTTCCTTTGTCACCCTTCCTTTGACCGGTGTTGTACAAAATACCTGTGTGAACAGGTGAAGAAAGCCTGTTTTTGTTGGGTGACCTAGGAGTCACCTTGACGATGCTCAGATAATTGGTTCTAAAACAGGTTGAATTTTATGTTCGACTATATTGCTCTTATGTACACATTTTAAAGTTGTACAGCTTCAGATTTGCCTGCATTTCCCATTGATTCAAGAAATGCCTGGTCTGAGGACTAAAACAGTAATTCCTCCCTTAACTTCCGGCAGAGGGTCTGATTCTGTCGGGACAGGAAGCCCCCTGTCCCGTCTGTGAGACCCGGACAGAGTTCTGACGGGGAGACCGATGCAGGCGCTCCCCCACCCCCAAGCGACCGACGCAGTTCTCGGTCGTGCGGTTTAGTCTTTGGCAGGTGTATTTTTAGTCTTTCTCGGAGTCACGTAGGTGAGGAGTGTTCCTCCATTTCCCCTCCACCGCCTTTGTCCCCAGTGACATTAAAGCTGGGTTTGCTCCAAGTTTCCAGTGCGAATCTCCCGCTGCCTCTCCGATGAATGAGCTGTGGGCCTGGTCGTCGGGAGGGAGGCGTAAGTGCGGTGTGGATGCCCGGTGGAGCATGAGGACATTTCTCCTACTTTGAGGTCCGTTTGTTCAAGCTTTGTTGTCAGGTCAGTAATGGAACGCCTGAGCACACTCTTTTGATTTCTCGGATGAAGATTTCCTTGTTTGTTTCTTTTTGCGGTTATCCTGTACGTATCGCAGAGTTTAAAAACAAAGTCAGAGCTAGACAGCCCATGGTTTTGGAGTGGGAGACAGGATTGTGAAGGCGTCAGTGTTCCTCAGCCTGACCCGCAGGTTCAGTGCCGTCCCCATCGGCATCCCAGCTGCCTTTGCGGAAATGGGCAGGCCGGTTTTAAAATCCATGGGCACCTGCAGGGGACCCAGAGCGGCCCTGAAAAAAGAACACAGCTGGAGAGCTACGCACGCTTTCTGATTGCAGAACGGTATTCACGATGTTCCCGCGGGGCTCCAACCATCTGGGCCGTGCGGGGCCGGCCCGGCACCGGCACAGGCACGAGACAGAGCTGAGAGCCCAGAAAGGAACCCTTACATTAACGGGCAATCGATTTGCAACAAGGGAGCCAAGACAGTTCAGGGAGGAAAGAGCAGTGTTTTCAACAAAGGACGCTGGGACAGCCGGACAGCCTCAGCCAAAGAGTGAATTTGGACCCCTGCCTCACACCATTGTCCAAAATTAACTCAAAGTGGGCCACAGGCCCACGTGGAAGAGCTGAAGCTGTAAAACGCTTCGAGGGAAGCGTAGATATGAATCCTCATGGCCATGGATTAGGCAATGATTTCTTACATGTGACGTATAAACTACAAACAATAAGAGAAACAGTTACTAAATTGCGCTTCATCAAAATTAGAAACTTTTATGCCTCAAACGTCTTTTTTAAAACTGCGAAGGATCCAGGTGGCCGTGACTGACTGAAGCCTGTCTGTCCCTGTACCAGTGGCCACTTTACCCACGCTGCCTGGTGTGACCTCCTTTCCCTGGAGGGTGGCCGCAGCTGCCACTCCCTCTCCATGCCCCTGCGTGCGTCCCTCTGCCGCGGGCGCTGTCCCCTTGTTCTCTGCTGTGCCTTGCTTTCATCGTGAAAGCTCCCCTCCTTCCTTCCCCCGCGGGCCTCCCTGTGGGCCCATCCTGAGCACATGTGTGCTCGGCTCCGACATGTGGGCTGCCGGGTGTGAGTTCTTCCTGCTCGGGCAGAGCCTGGTTCCTCCAAGGGCAGCCGTCGGCTTGGTGGCAGAGGTGAGACCAGCCCTCGTCTTTTGGGACATGCCCTGCGAGGGTGCGTGGTGTAGGGAGGGAGGGGCACGTGGGAGGCAGTTTTCCCTCGCACGCTCTGCTCACGCTCCAACAGGCTCTGTGTCGCAAGCGGATCAGTGGTTTTCACAGTGTTTCTGTTTCTTCCATGATGAAGAGGACTCGATGGGGTGGGGGTCCCCAACGGTAGGCAGAGGCAGACCTCGGCCCGCCGGGGTGACCTGCGAACGCAGGCCCCGTGCTTTGCTGCTCCTCGTCCCCGTCACGTCCGTCTGCCAGAGTCCCGGTGCCTCGCCACTGTCAGCCCAGGACACGTGTGGCCCTCTGCTCAGTGCGGTCGGGCACCTGCCGGACGCCCGGGGCCTCGCTGCTGGGCCTGGCCCTCGAGGGGCTGGAGGCCGGAGCTGCCCAGCTGTCCAAGCGGACGGCGCACCCTATGCCCGCAGCGGCTGGGGTCAGGGTCGCCGCCCCTGGCCTGGGGTTGATGGAGTCAGGAAGTGAATATCGTTCAATACCCGTCCTGCCCCGGGGTTCACACCTGTTACCTCGCTCAAACCTTACCTAGTATTTCCCTTCCATACTGGGTGTTGTTTTCCAAGGGGGAGACTGAGGCAGGGAGCTTAAATACCCTGCCTGAAGCGAGAGGGAGAACTTTTTGTTTGTTTGTTTGTTTGCTTGTTTTGCCTCAAAGGGCTGCGTTTGCCCAGTCAGGGGCTTTGAGCCATCCTCAGGGACTTGAGGTGCATAACGATGCAAAACCCCGTCACTTCCAAATGGCTTGTTCTTGGGCCAGTCGGGGACACTGGGTTTTCACACTTCCTTCTTTAGCCTAGTATGTGGCGTTTAGATAGGACATTTCTGTACCACCCCCCTTTTTTTTTTCTTTTGGTGTGGTGAGAGGAGGAAGTTTCTCCAATTTCTCTAATTTACAAAGAGTGGTTTGGGGGCACACCTTCCCTTTGTGTACTGCTCTCTGACAGCGGGCACCGGGCCAGGATTAAAACCCCTGCTTGGCTGTTTCAGGACTCCCAGCTGCGTCAGAGCGCAGCCTACAGCCTGCACCAGCCGCAGGGGAACAAGGAGCACGGCACCGAGCGCAGCGGCAACCTCTACAAGAAGAGCGACGGGTACGTGGTGCCTGGCTGCAGCTGACACGCGTGTCCGTGTGCTCCTGAGTCCAGAATCTCTAAACTCTTCTTTCCCCCCCATTTATCCCTAAGGATCCGGAAGGTGTGGCAGAAAAGGAAATGTTCAGTCAAAAATGGTTTTCTGACCATATCGCACGGAACCGTAAGTATCTCTGTTGACTTCCAGTCTCCGCTGGAGTGAGACACGCAGCAAGCTCAGTGACGTCTGAGGACACGGTGGTCCTGCGTGTGCCGTGGAGTCAGGGGTCCCTGCTGAGGAAGGCTCGTTGGGGGTCCTGCTGCGTCTGGCGCGCCTGCACTGGTTTACGTGGCTCCAGCCGGGCAGCGCCCTGCTGGCCTTCGCTGCCCAGCAGCCAGGAGGGACTGAGGGGCCGCGTGCCCTTCACTCAGACCCTGCGATGCCAGAGACACGCGGAAAGCCAGCAGGCCGCTCCCCGGCTGTGTCGGTTGGGAACTGGGCCCTCACACTTGCGAGGGCGTTTCCTTTTCCCCTCAGGGAAAGGCGCTTCCCTGGCCGGGACTCTGGGAATCAGAAAACCCAGGGGAGAGCCATCACAGTCCTTTTGTTATAAAAGCCGAAGAAGACACGGCGCCTGGCCTGAGTCTCGTCCTTTGTCGCCCTGCATGTAGTTGCCCACACGGGAAACCGAGCCCTAGGTGTTAGCCTCCTAAAAACCGATCGCAATAATACGGCAACTACTCTCACTTTCGGAGACCAGGGATGGCGACCACAGTCACAACACAGCCCTTCCCACCTTGGCGCCCTTCCCTGCAGTGGCGTTGGGCGCATCGTCATCTTCCCTGGTATGACGGAATCTGGTGACCGCCGGGTAGGCTGGTACACATTTTTGAAGATATCTAAAGGCGGAGTTGGTCGCCCTTTTGTTGCTCATGAGGATACCGGCGATGGCTGGCATCGCAGGTCCCCAGGCAGGAGGCCGGGTGCTGTGAGTGGATGGCAGTGGAGACACGCCTGGGCCTCCCCCTCTACTCCCCGCCCCTCCCCGCCCCCTGGAGAAAGGCTGCACCGGGCAGGACGCAGACTGACTTTGCAGGCTCCACAGCGGCGTCGAGGCTCAGAGAGGCTCCCAGAGACGCAGCCCTTCCAGCGCTTAGGAACCCGAAGGGTGACCCTGCGGCAGGGCTTGTGGTCCCTTGGGGACCCTTCATTTCCACCGAGCCCACTTCAGGGAGGAACACAGTAGACGTGGCATCTGTCAGGTGTCATCTTCAGAGAACTCTTGGCCTAGGGGATTGACTGTGTCTCTCAGTCATTTCTCTTTTTCAAAGCCCACCTTCGCTGGCCTCACTTAGGTCCCTGCGCCCCGCTGTGGGCGTGCGGCGTGCACCCTGGTGTCACGTGTTTCTGTAGAGACGTGGGTCGGACCGTGCCAACCGCAGGAAGCCCGTTTGTTTAGTCGCCCCTCTGTGGGCGGGATGACGGCCAGGTCCCTTCCTGCTCTGAGCGGCCAGGGCTCCCTCAGGGTCGCTACCCCGGGCGGACAACTTCCTAAATGAAGACCGAGTTTCACTTCCGTCCTGTTGACAGCTCCCAAGTCATTCGGTAGCTTTACTTTGTGAGAGTGTTTTGCTAGACCCAGGGCTCAGCTGACGCCCAAGAAATTAAAGCAGGTCCAAGGTCCCCCGCTGACGGCAGAAGCCGGTTCGAGTCCTTCCGCTGCTTGAGCGGCCGCTCAGAAGGCACGGAGGCTCGGTTCTCTCTCAGGGTGGGTGGGCCGCCCCGGTGTGGGGCTTCCTGGGCCGCAGGTAGCCCAGCTGGCCACGCCCTCGCGTGTGGCATGAGCGCTGTGTGTTGGGGGGAACCCTGCTCAGGGGGTCTCCGCTGTCCAGGAGCCACATGCTGCCTCCCGGCCTGGGCCCCGAGCAGCTGGCCCTGTGGCGGCCGGGGGCCCTGTCCCCCTGCATGGTGGCCCTCCCTCTGGGGAAGGGCCCCCCTTTTCCTCCCCCCACCATGCTGCGTGCGCTCCGGAAGGCAGAGTCCTGCACCCCATGTGTGGCTGCAGCCACGGGTGTTTGCATGCGACGCCGTGCCTTCACCGCAGCCGAGGGCGAGAGGGAGAGGTGCCTCTTTGCCTGGTGGGTTTGGGTTTGGCTGTAGAGCTGACCTAGTCAGACAGCAGCTCCCTGCCTCTGCTGATTTGCCATTGAGGGGGGAAAGGGACAATTTCGCAAAGACTCAACTGCGTGACTGGGAGCCTGAGCACAGTGTCTGGCGCTCAGCTGAGAACCGGAGCTCGAAGTCATGGAAACACAGACGCGTTTGCTCTGTGAGGAAAAGCAGCCCCACCCCCACCCCCCAGGAAGCTGGCAGCCTTCCGGGAATGAAATCATCGCGCTCCGTGCTCTGGCAGGGTCCGTGCTCTGGCAGGGTCGGCGGTGACACCCGGGATGAATTCGGCGCGTTCCGGGCTGGCGTTCCCTGTTAGCCAAGGCTAGCTGCTTTCTGGCACAGGGAAGACGTGGTCTAATTAGGTGTTGTCTTCACCAAAGTCATGGCATCGCCACACAGGCTGACTGGGGACTGTGTTAAACTGAAGAAATGCCCCCGGGTCCTTACACAGTCTAAAAATTCTTTAAGCAATTCTCAACCACGCAGAAAGAAGACTGCAGACTTTGAAAGGCCTGGCCAATGGAAAACCGAGCAGCATGATGGAAATGGGACTCACTACTCCCGTGCGCGCGTGTGGCAAACAGACGCGAGGGGTCTGTTTTCGCTCCTGCGGAGCTGCTTGCGAAAGCAGGGCTCCTCGGACCGGCTCTCGGGGAGCGCTGGTCTCTGATGAACCACATTGTAGCCGAGTTCAATGGTGACACCATTTTTCTGTATTTAGGAAATTGCACCCCCCTCTTTGAACGCCCCTGTGTCTAAGACTCCGTGGACACCCGCCGTTGCTTAGGCAAGCAGGCCAGTCACGCCCCTGAACGCACACGGGGCCGTGTAACCGTGGGAGGTCACGGTGAGACGCAGGCTTTAAGCGGGCCCAGCGTCTGTGTGAGGGTGCCCGGGATGCATGGCGTGGGCCCTCCTTAGCACCGGAGAAGGACGGGGCGGGCAAGAGCAGGTTTACAGTTGTTCATATGGAAAGTGAGGCAATAAATAATGACCAAGAAGAGACTGTGCTGTGTCCTCGCAACTGTGAACCTCCTGTTGGCCACCCCGTATGCCATTTGGTGCACTGCTTCCTGGACGAGCCGGGCAGTTCTGTTGGTGAGGATCCGAAAGTGGGTCCATGGTGCTGTCCCTTGGCGGGGTCAGGGGTCGGAGGCCTCGCACGCTGGTGTCTGGGGACCCAGGGGCATTGATAGGGCCTGCAGACCACGGAAGACAGCCATGTGGTCCCCCCTGCAGGACGAGGTCCGCACGCCATGCACCAGGGCCTGGTTATCCAACCTCTGCTGAGCCCAACTCGCTTTATTGGACCCAGACTGTTCACGCTGCAGGGATCCGCCCCGTTTCAGGGGAGCCCCCCGCCCCTGCCCCGCCGCTGTGAGGGCTCCGTCCAGAGGGGTGTGTAAACACATGAGGACCTCGAGGTCTGTCTCTGTGTGGCTGGCGGCCACCACGAGGGGTGATGACAATCGAAGGCCAAGGCGTTTTACTCGATCTTTCCGTGAGTGGCCTGGTAGGTGGGGAGGACAAGCCCAACCACACGTGGAGATTGGCCAGCATTTCTGAGAGGCACGTTGCCATTCGGAAATTTTCTTCTTACCCTCCGCCTTTTGCTTCTTTGGGTGAAATAGGATAGTTTTTGAAATTTTAATAGCACTTTTGACACATTTCTGGCAAAAAATATATTGTGATTTCTTGTTACCCTTGGATGTCTAGGGGTGAGTGGGGGGTTATCATACGTGGATGCGGTTGGTTTTGTTGAAACTTAAGTGACAGATGGTGGGCTTTCAGGGCTATGAATCTGCTATCTGTCATCACTTCAGGAGCTAGGGAAAATTATGTCTCTGTCATTTTTGTGCTTTTCCTGGGAGGGAGTGGTTATGCTGTGACAAACACGTGCAAGGTCACCAGAAATGGAGCTGGGGGCCCAGGTTGCCCCGCCAGCAGCCTGCCTGTGAGTAGGGACCAGGACTGAACGTCTCGGGCTTTAGCCGTGGCGCGTTTGGGTCTCGGGGAGGCCACTGCCATTGACCTCAAAGCCAGCATCCGTTTGTCCCCTGTCTGGCGGGCGTGGGGGCCACGAAGTGTCCCTCACAGGGAGGGCACTGGCCCTTTGTGGAGCTGAGCTTCAAGGACACGCTCTCACGTGCCTGTCGTGGGTTTCTGCGTACCCTCGGCCTTCTGAAAGCTCTGTGCAGGCTAGGAGCTCCCTGCCCTTGCTATACTTTCGTGAGGAGGGAGGCAGCGTGATTTTCCCTTCCTTCCCTCCCGTCTCTGTTTTGTTTTGTTTTCGAACAGGCGAACCGTCCTCCTGCGAAGCTCAACCTGCTGACCTGCCAAGTGAAGACCAACCCCGAGGAGAAGAAGTGTTTTGACCTCATTTCACGTAAGTTTATTCTCAGACGCTGTGCCCCAGAGAAGTCGTTCTGGACTGTCCTGTAGGGCATCAGCCCCTTTCACACGGTGTGTTTTAGAGAATTGGTTTTGGGAGGAAAAGGCATTTCAGATGAGGCCTGTGCTTCCTCTCCCCCCGCCGTTGCTGTCCTGCCAGCTCTCGGGCGGGCGGGGCCTTGACTTGAGGCGCCCCGTGTGCCTTGTGGCTCTGGGGGCTCAGATACTCTCAGCTCCCAGCCTCTGTTTGTAAACGAGGAGATTATACTAAATCAGCCCATGAGCCGAAAATCCCTTCCTTCCTTACAAAAGAGGACGATTCTGCTGTCCAGGCCGCGTGACCTGCATGGTGTTAGAAATGCTGCAAACGGGGAGAATCCGGCCTCCAGCTGTGCCCCCGAAGCTTTCCTTTTTGAAGTCGCTTTGTCTGCCCGGCCACAGGGTTCGCCTGTGTGCTTCTGTGTGCGTTTCCTTCGGGGACAGAAGAATCACCACAGGGCCATCTGCTGTGGCCACTGGTCGCTCAGCATCCCCGACAGAAGAAAGACAGGGACAGTGAAAAACCATAAAACGATAGGCCTTGTGTTTGTGGCAGTTTTATGTGGCAGGGCTACTGTTGCGGGGAAGGAGGGGACCCGCTCCCCTCTCAAAAGGCAGTTGCTAGGGATGTGGGCACCAGAGTGCTGTTTACAGAGGAAAAGTCTCGACCGTGCCCTTTGGGAAGAAGGCTCATTGTCTGTGTGTCCCCAAGCTCAGGCGCTGCCTTTGAAGGTGGCCGGGGCTTTGATGGCTGTGTAAGGAACGTAATGCTCACTGCACACTCACCTCCACTGCTCCAGGCAGGAGACGGAGGCCCGCAGCATTAGCCCTCAAGCGCCCGTTTCCCTGTTCCTTGACGCCTTGTGCTAGCTAAGCTCCAGGAGGCCCCTGAACAACAGGATGTGGGGAAAGGGTTCGGGTGTCATTAGTTCTGTTCTTCAGCTTCCAGACTGATTTGTAAAATAAAAATTGACTTGATCCGGCTTCAAACCCTGTGTCCCTCCTCGGTCTAGGAAGGCCCTCAGATCCCTTTCCCCTTCTCCTCAAATCTGGTTCAGGCCCTTCTCTCTGCACCTATGAGACGGTGTGAACGTGCAGAATTGACTGTAGTTTACAGTGGGATCACACTGGGCATAATTACCTGCCTCTGGTTACGAGTCTGAAGTTCCATCAAAGGGGAGACCTTGGCGGCCTGTGGCCTGCTGCCGCCTGTGGCTGGGGACATGGGAGGGTTTGAGGTTGGCCTTTCCATTTTCATAGTCGGCAGAGGGGTGCCCCTCAGTCGCCGATCAGCACAGAGCTTGCCGGAGCTGTGCCCACGCGGGGAGGGGGCGCCACGCGTCCCTCCAGATCCCGGTGGCAGCCCCAACCCAAGGCCATATGTGCAGACGTGTGTATTTCAGACTTGTGAACAGCTCCACAGCTGTCCCCAACCTGCACGCCAGACGCCGGGCGGGTGGGCGGGCGACGTCTGCGTGCCCCACCGCCTTCCGAGCGCTAGCGGCCACCAGCCACCAACACGGGGGCTGGCCCTGGGCAAGCCTGGCCGCGCATGAATGCGCTGGCAAGCCGATGTCGCTGGGAGTCTGTCGGCACCTTTGCTCCAGCTCCTGACGTGGGATGGGTGTCTTGAGGCAGGGGCGCCCAGCCCCTGAGCCCGGGGGCGCCCACCCTGTCTGGCTTGGGGCGTTGTTGGCAGTTGGCCAGCCCATTGCCACCTCTGCAGAAGGCCCTCATCTCTGCTTGTCCCTCCTCCGTGGGTGCCATGCGTCCGCGTGTAGACATTTCTCATCCTTGGCGCGTTTCAAAAGATGCCCCTCCCGTCCTAGTGTCTCAGTGAAAATGTTTTGTCACTTCCAAGGAGGACGTCCCGTGGCAGGCCCGCCCTTCCCCAGGGGCCTTGTTCAGCTCCTCATGCTCAGGCTGACCACGCCCTTGGCCAGTACCAGTCCTGAGCCATTGTCCCCCGTCTCCCTCGGTGAGAGGGAGGGTGCAGGCGAAGATTGGCTGAGGTTTGTCCCCTGCCACAGGGTGGACCCACAGCGAGCTGGTGGCTTTTTTGGCCGATTGGAGCCAGGGCCTCGGGCAGAGAAGCCTGGCTGCTGTCGCATCGAGGCACTGACCGGCCCTCCCATCTCCTCTTGCTTTTCTCCCGCCCCACCCTGCCCTCATTGAAGCTGCTAGAAAGTGTCCTTGGTTCGTAGCATCTGGAGAAGAGGAGGTCTACAGGTACCCCCCTCTTTTCTTTTTAAATTGGACGTTCTTTGTTGCCTTGCTGTGGGCTGACTGTAGTCCCAGAACTTCTGCCTGTCCCTCATTGGGGCCCCTCACGCTAACCTCTCAGTCCAGTCGTGCACCCGCTGCCCGGCTTGTGAATACCCGCTGGGCCCAGGACGTTACTGTCCGTGTGCTGCTGCGACCAGGAACCTACTCAGATTTGACCGTTTTCCACGGGGCCCCTTTCCCGTACTGGGATTCTCTCCATAGTCCCACAGGGCGATCATTCTTTCTTCTTGGTCTCCCACGTCAGTAGCTGTTCTATAGCCTGTCCTTGGCTGTCAGAACCTTGGTACTTCCTTTGAAGGGTGCTGATCAGTTTTGGGGTCACGTGTCCCTCGGTTTGGGTCTCTGGTGCTTTCCTGTAATTGGCCTGAGGCTCTGCGCTTGGGGCAGGACTAGCACATCAGGCGCCGTGCCCTCTCTCCCGCAAACAGGGCGGGCGGTCTGGCAGGACACGCGTCGATGTCGCCGAGACCCTTCCGTGCACAGGCGTGAGGTCTTCTGTCATTCCTGAACAGTCCCTCCCGCTTTCACTGTATTTGTGATGCAGCACTGCTGTAGCATGTTGTCGTTAGAATTTCCCATAATGATCTTTTTTAAGAAGGCCAGAGACTGCCTGAGACGCTTGCTTTAGAAAAAGCTTTAACCGTTCACAAGGCCTCAACCATTACTCTGGGCACGTGCTCTGTGGCAGTTTAAAGGAAATGAGAGCTTTTGAAAGGCTGACGAGGGATCTGAGTGCGTAGCCTCTGGTTGTGGAGGCGGTGTCACTGCAGACTCGAATGGAGAGCCAGGCGGTCTGTCCCTGTGGACTGCAAAGCCGCGGCGACCGGGCGAGTGTGGACCGCGAGGGGCGCTTGATTGCACATGAACGGCCCCCTTCCCAGCGCAGAGTTCTGGGCGTTCCCAGGGCCAGTTACCGGGAAGCCGCTTCCTCGGGGAGCCGTGCCCGCGCCCTGTGTGAGCTCGCACTCACGGACCCCTCTTGCCGTGCAGATGACCGGACGTACCGCTTCCAGGCCGAGGACGAGCAGGAGAGCCACATGTAAGTGCGGCGGAGGCGGGCCTGGCGGGGTCCGCCGCCCCTGGGCCCGCTCACGGCCTCTGTTGCTCTTCCAGATGGGTGTCCGTGTTGCAGAACAGCAAGGAAGAAGCTCTGAACAACGCCTTTAAGGGTGATGACAACACCGGAGAGAACAACATAGTCCAAGAGCTGACGAAGGAGATTATCTCCGAAGTCCAGAGGATGTCGGGCAATGACGTGTGCTGTGACTGCGGCGCGCCAGGTGACCCAGACCCTGCCCCCCGCCCCCCGGCTCCAAACTCAGTCTTTGCTTTTCCTTCCCTCTCATGGCAGACGGACAGGTCTGTGGCTGGGTCGCGCTCACTGAGCTGTGTGCCAACCACGCGGGGGTGGGGGTGGGGGTGGGGGAGGGGGAGGAGGTTTGCCTCCGGGCTCTCAGGATGGAGCGTGGGAGAGCGGGCCTGGTGTCGCCGAAAACGCTTCAGTGCGTTTTGAGGAAAGAAAGCAGAAGCACAGAGGGAGGGTGAGATCAAGGTCATCAGGCTGGTGCGCTGGCTGCGGGGACTTCTCCGGGGTTTACCCGCTGGGACGCTGGCCGTGACTCTAAGCCGCGGCCTCGTCTGGGGCCCTGCAGGAGCCACCACTTTGTGAGATGTCAGCGTTGCTCCATGGAAAACGAAGGGACCGTCCGGATTGTTCGCGGGTCCCTTCCAGCTGCCCACAGTCTGTGGGGTGACAGGTGTGCTTATGTGTCACGGTAAAGCCTATTAGGGGCTCCGTTTCTAATGGACATCGCGTATCATTGTAGACTTCAACCTCTAGTATTTTAAAAGTTTATGGAGTTGACGTACTCTTTTAATTAGGATGGAGGGGCGGAGCCTCAGGGGCGTATGGAGCAGCTATTCATAGAGTGGGAAAGACCGTGGCGTGGCCGGCTACCTTTTCCCTTCTAATTCTGTGACAACTTTTATAGACAACCAACAACCAAAATAGAGCGGGGAGTTGAGAAATGCCGTGAGGTTCCTGTTCCCCTCAGGCTAGATTTGGGGATAATTTGAGGAATGACCTCATGGGGTGTTGTACCCATTTAAAAATATCTTCTTGGCAGAATCTTATAAGCTCTCTTTGGATCTTATCTTTAAAGGAGTGGTTAGTAGTGACTGATGTTTTTTCTTAAGACAAGATAAGGCCAGTGCTTGGACTTTAAAACACCGCCAGAAAGAAGTCACAGCTGTGTGCGCTCTTGTCTTAAAATGCTGAGATAGCCCGGCGTGTGAAAGCCTGGTGGGAGGCGGTGTCACTGTGCGCCCCGGACCACCGCACGCGCGGGACGGCCGGCACGCTAGCACAGGACCGTGAGGTGGAAACACAGGTGCCCTGAAACGTGTCCTAACCTGAAAGAAATTTCTTATAACGTGAACATTTTAAAAACAATTCCCCAATTAGCTAGTGACCAGGGTTGCAATATTTACCTGCCCTGCATTTCTAAAGGCAACAAGCAACTCTGAAGAGACTTGTACTTGCTGGGCCATGATAACGTGCTCAGCTGTGCTTTATTTTGACTTCCCCGTTTGCCATAAACACAGCATTCACCTGTCAGGCATTTCTTGAGTACCTGTGACCATGAGCCACAGTCAGGAGGACGCCTCAGCGAGTGAGTCACGGGTTGAGCCCCGGCCACAGCGGGGCTGCGGCCTGGCTCTGCGTCCCGGCTCTGCGTCCCCCGACAGCCCCGAGCGGGCGCGGCCCTCCTCCCGAGCGGGCGAAGGCCCCTGCCCTGTGTGCCTGGGCTCTGTGTGCCTTAGGCCAGGCAGTTAGTACAGTGCGCAGAAGGACCTGTCATTTCTGAAGCTCTCGCTGGGGGCGCCGTTACGCTACTCAAGTGCTGAGCCCTGACGGGGCAGCGGCACGCTGCGTGTGCTCTGTGTCCCTGCCACCAGCATCTCTGTGGCTGTATCATCCTTCTGATTTAAGTCTGTTCACCCTAGAGTTGTAGTATGAAAGAGCCTGCTTCTTCTCCCGCCACGTTGCTGGCGGCACCCGGTTGGCAATGGGCGTGGCCACTGGAGGCCACCGTGTCCTGTTTCTTGTCCACCCGGCGCCTGTCACCTAATAACTGAATGAAGGACAGCGAGGTGGAGGGTGAGGGAGAGGGAGCAAACAGATCCACGCGTGTGTGCATGTTGAGTGTAAACGGGCGGCGGTCCTGGTGGAAGCTTCATTCTGGCTGCCTCAAGGGTCAAGAAATGGCACGTACACGAAACTCCACATGCAGTGACTGTGCGGGAGAGGGTCCTGACCCCTGGCCCTCCGCTTCCCGCTAACACTAAGCTCTCTGTTCTCTCCGGCAGATCCCACGTGGCTTTCCACCAACCTGGGCATCCTGACCTGCATCGAGTGTTCCGGAATCCACCGGGAGCTGGGGGTTCACTACTCCAGGATGCAGTCCCTCACGTTAGATGTACTAGGAACATCCGAGCTGCTGGTAACATTGGAATTCTTGATTTTGGAATGGAAATAAATGGAGCCGAAAGCTGACATTTAATGTTGGCCTTCGAACCCGTTTGGGTTTCTTGAAATTCCCCTGGGCTGGTGGCTGTTGGTGTTGGGCAGTCGCAGACTCATTGATTCCTCCTTCCCGGCGACTAGTGGTTGAGGTCGCATCTTGTTGCAAAACTTTATTTTTAAATTACTGAAGTGAAGTGGAACTCAAAAAGGAGTGTTGAGCCCGGCCCGTGTGGCTCTGTAGTTCGGAGCCCTGTGCGGGAACCGAAGGATTGTGGGTTTGAGTCCCAGCCAGCGCACTTCCAGGAAGCAACCTATCAATGTTACTCTTCCTTACTCTTTCTCTAAAAGCAACGAAAAAAAATGTCCTCGGGTGAGGATTAAAAAAAAAAGTGTCGAGGCCAGTGTAAGATTCTGGAATTAAGGATGGGCCCTTCGCATGGGTCGCCCCGGTCGTGGGGCAGACGCAGAACCCAAGTCCCTGACAGTGGGGGGCGCACTCTCCCTGAGTCACTGCCGGTTCCTGCCAAGTCTGTGGTCACTGCCTGACTCAGCCTCCAGTGGACCTTTCCTCTTCCCTTTACTGTCGACCTTTGGGGGAGATATTGGTATTTGCTTTTATTGCCTTTGTTTCTAAAAACAGTCTCTTGTTCTTGGTTCGGTGAAACACATAAACCTTGTGATGCAGACGAGGTTGGAGCCTTTCCTGGGGGGTGACTTTCAGAGGACCGAGGCGCAGGACACCGCACAGCCGGGCAGCACGTTGGGGCCACCCCAAATGTGGGCTCGCGCAGATCTTTTTGGCAGTCTCTAGCTGCAGTGTTCGAACCTTTTTCTCAGGGTAGCTGGGCGTCGGGCAGTAAATATTAAATGGCTATTGATTACCATTGACTTTAATGTCAAGAGCAGTTGTCTTGACAGCAAATCAATTAATGCGGTCGATACACCTCTCAAGGGGCCATAAGTCTTACTGTTGGCTCCGGCGGATCTGGCGTGTCTGAACTTGCAATGTGTCTGAACTCCCTTGTCAAGCCCTTCCGGTCTTGGCAAAGAATGCCTTTGTGGTCTTGAAAGACACAGTGGGGAGAAACTGGGGGGCCCTCGGGAGCCCGGTGGTAACGTCCCCGCAGAGCGTGAGCAGGCGGTGGCGTCCGCACCCACCACGGTTCCGCGGGATGGGGCCGTGCACGCCGCCTGTGTCGCGGGCCATGTGTGCGCTGGCGGAACCCGCGCGGCTGCCGCTGGCGTAGACTGGAGCCTTCACAGTGCATTTTCAAAGAAACCCAGACCACTCCGTCCGCACTGGTGGACCACGGCAGCCCCTGTGCCGCCCGTTCGGTTTTCTTAAAACAGTGGGAAGCGTTAAGCGATTTATGGTGAAACACTAATTGCTCATGTTTGTCCTGGGCCCTTTGCGGAGCACTTTGTGCGTATGAGCTCATTTGCCCTTTGCAGCAGCTCTGTGACCTTGGTATCTCATCCCCACTTTACAAAGGAGGAACCGAGGTTAGATGTTTAACCGTGTCCAAGGTGAGGTCTGGGGTGGGGTCCCCTTTAACCTGGTTCCAGAGCTCACGCTCTTTGCCTGTAAGGAGCCTGGGACATACACTGGCCTTTGAGGTGGGTTGTCTCGTTCTGCGTCGCTGCTGTCCTTCCACCCCCCCAGCCTGGCCCCGGCCCCGGCCAGTGTTTAATTAACAGGCAGCTCTCTGTGCGGAAGAGGCCCTGCCTTGCCGTCTGCCGAGTCCCAGGACGCCCCGGCTCCCGCCTGGCCATTGCAGGCTGCCAGCGCGACTCCCTGAGCGCGCCGCGGGCAGGGGCGGCGGGCAGGGGCCGCGGGACAGGGCGTTCACCCTGCAGGCAGGTGCAGTGCTTGCGGGAAACTTCATAAACATGGATAATAGGGGCACGTAGTGAAAATAACTGGGAAGTGATGATTTTTGAGCGTTTATTACTTTTTAAAATATAATTTTTTGAGTTATGAGTTTATATAATTTCATTTTAAGATTTTATTTTTAGAGAGAGGGCACGGGAAGGAAGCATCAATGTGCAGTTGCCTCTCGTGCGCCCCCTACTGGGAACCTGGCCCGAAACCCAGGCCTGTGGTCTGACTGGGAACTGAACCGACGACCCTTTTGTTCGCAGGCTGGCGCTCAGGCCACTGAGTCACACCAGCCAGGGCTTATATAGTATAATTTTAATAATGGCTTTCATGAGCTGACCCCACCCTATCCTTATACCTGCTTAAATATGTCTCAGAAATTTAACAGTGCTCCTCTGGAGATTCTGTTGCCTCCCAAGAAGGAAACCACGAAAGAAGGTTGAAAGAAAAATGTTCCCTTCTTGGTGCCCGGGCTGGTGTGGCTCAGTGGACTGAGCGCCAGCCTGTGAACCTAAGGGTCTCCGGCTCGATTCCCAGTCGGGCCACAGGCTGGGCTGCAGGCCAGGTCCCCAGCAGGGGTCGGCACGAGGGGCAACCGCACATGGATGTTTCTCTCCCTCTCTTCCCCCCTCTCTAAAAATAAATAAAATCTTTAAAAAAAAAAAAAAAAGCGCCCATCTTGAGCAGCTGAGATGGCTTCTCACCCCTGGTCCAGATCTTGGTTTCTGCCCCCAGAGCCTCTGCCTGTCTGTTCTCACAAAAACCGCGCGCAGCCATCATGGACGCATTGGACTGAGGCTGCTGGGTGAATATCTGCACATATTTTCAAAATTAATCTCTGGCGTGGCTTTAAACTCTCCCTTCTCTTCAGGGGTTACCGGGAAAACAAAGGTAGAAGGCCCTGAACCCTGTGAGATTTGGGTCTGCCCTCTGCTTGGCCCTGAACTTGCCCGTCTGGTCGTCCGGCCGCTCCCAGGAGGCGGGCAGCTCCCCGCGTCCCACCCTAGGCTCACAGCGTTGCGCCTGGACCGTGGGCAGACGTCATGCCCCGACCCCTCGCTCTCAGCCGTTAGGTTCCCGATGGGCGGGGAGCGTGCATCAGGTGTTAACATTCGGCTCTCAAGTGCAAGCCTTTTTAAAGCACTCGGTTATTTTACTTCACTTAAGTCAGATGCCTGAAGGGATGCTCTGAAGCCTTCACAGGTGTGCGTGTGCGTGTGTGTCTGTGTGCGTGTGACGTAGAAATGGCACCAGGTGTTAGACACGTGGGGTCAGACCGGACCTTGGTTCAGCAACCCTGGTTCTCGAGTTCTGGCCAGGAAAGAATTCGGAGCCAAGACTCAAGCTGTACGAGAGCATTTATTTAGGAAGTCACGGAGGCAGCAAAGAGGGGCTCAGGAAAGGAGTTACAGAGGCAAAGAGGGGCCCTGGGACCTCAGGAGAGGGGCGGGCAGTGGGCGCCGGCCTGCAGGGGGCAGGGCTCGCAGGGCTCTGTCCCGGGGAGGAAGCAGCAGCACGGTCGTCAGCTCTGCAGGTGAGTCCTCTCCGGGCCTGGTCTGCCCCGATGGGCGAGCGCCAGGGCGGGGGACCGGGGGTCGTTCCTGACGGCTGGTCCCAGGATCAGCCGTGACACGACCTGTCTGGCTTTCGGCTTTTCTGGGCCTGGAGCTGAAACACACCGAGGCCTAGATGTCCTCTCAGGGAGGGGAGGTCGGGGCGGCCCGGCCCGCTGGCCAGCAGCCAGCTGTGCGAAAGGCGGGGGTCTGAACCGCACCGCCCGCCATGTGACCCGCTGTGTGACGGGGAGGACGGGCCGCCATGGGGGTGAGGCCCTTGTTTTCCCAGTTGCTAGGGACCCGGGGCTTTCGGCCCCGGTGGCCTCCCATGCCTGGCCCATTGTCCTTGCTGTGGTCATGTCTGGGTACTGCCCACCACCGTGAAAACAATACAGTGTGAGCTGCCGCGCACGGCTCCCCTCCACGAGGACTCACAGAACCCCTCCGGGGGGCGGGCCGCGTGCCCGACAGTGGCCCGCAGCTCCCACCCGGCCGCCCGCGGCGTTGTGAGCCTGTCCTGTCAGCAGAGCAGGGTCTTCGGTTGGGTTCATCGGGGACGTGTTTTTTGTGCAGCCAATGTTAATTAGACCTTTCCACACCTCGTTAAAGGCAGGAGCAGGCTGAACGGGAACAGCAGTCTCCGGAGGCCCTGGACGCAGCCTGGAGCAGGGCTCTTCCCGGGGCAGCGCCCTCGCCTGCCCCTCCGGGAGATGCGGGCGAGCCGCCCAGGGCGCCCTGCTGTGGCGGGGACAGCAGGCGCTCGACCAGGAACGACCAGGAACGGTTGTGTTCTGGCGGCAGTGCGTTCCTGAGAAAACAGGCGCTCGCCCTGTGAAGTGCCTGTTCCCACGGGCCGCCGCAGCCGCCTCAGCATAAAAGCCTTTCCTTGGCTCCAGAAATTGCCTCCTGGCCTTGGCTCTGCAGAGAGTTTCCCCCATGGTCGCTGTTTCCCTTTTAATTTTTTTGTTTCAAAGCTTGATTTCTGTGTTAATTGACTAGATCCCAGCAGCATCCGCAAAGGTGGCTGGTCAGCAGCGGTCTGGTCTTCCCCGTACCTGCTTTTAGAATCGCTTCTCATTTGGGGGAGGGGCACGGGGGCTGTTGAAATGGAGGCGCTCGTCCGGTTCGTTCAGGGAGCCCTGCCTTTGTGCCGCCTTCCCGTGCTCCGGCCCCCCGACCCCCCGACCCCGTCCTCGGGTCTCGCAGCCCCACCTGCTTTCCGAGAGGCTCCTCGCGAGCGTGGATTTTTAAAAAGATCCATTTCCAGCTTCGCACAGAGGATCATGATTTCTGGTGTTAATTTTTCAGGCCATCTGTAAAATAGTATCATTGGTACAGGACACTAGTATTCTGTGATCTACTTCACATCCTACATGGGGTTGATAAAGGAAACTTTGACACTGTGACATGGACTTTGAGTCAGTGATTGAAAAACCATCTTCCACCAAACGGAAGAACAGGGTCATGACCCTCAGGTGCCCGTATTTCTGACTGTGTCGTGACCTTCTGCGTCCCTCCCCGTGGGGCAGCCGCTTCCGGCTCAGTGGGCCCCGCACGGGCAGCTGGGGAGGGTCTCCAGCAGGTGCGGTTTCTGGTCCCTGTCCTCAGGGTGCCCTGTGCAGCGAGGGACTTCGTGCCAGACCAGGAAAGTGGTTGTCAAGACCCCATAACTACTCTGTTGATGGGCACTTGCCACCTGTGACCTCGTGCGGTCGTATAGTCGTCCCCTGTGGCCTCATCCCGTCCCCTGAGATCGTGGGACTTGCAGCAGGGCTGTGGGTCATGCCCAGAGCCCAGCACGCTGCGGGGCCCGCTGTGCGTTTGCGTGCTGACCAGTGGCTGGGCTTGCCTTCTCTGAGTGACGCGGCGCTTAGACCCCGACCCCTCCCGGGCCTCCCTGGCCCCGTGTCTGCACCCAGCCCTCAGGTCCTGGGGTGGTGCCTGGGAGTCGGGGGCACGTGTGATGGGGCTGCCTCACCCAGCTGTCCCGCGTCCTCGGCTCCCGCCCGCGGGGCCTGCTGGCGCCCCCCCACCCGCCCTGGTTTCTGGCTGTAACCCTGCAGCCTCCATCTGCAAATGCTTTGCCTTTGTTGATGGTTCCAGGGGGCTTCTCTGCCGGCTGAAATATTAGCTGGAACTTGGCTAAACTGTGAGGCAGCACATTCCTCCGCGTTGGACGAGTGTGACGCAGGGTGTGAGCTCCCTGGGCCAGCTGTCCCTGGCAGCTCCGCCAAGTCCACGCAGAAGGCGGGAGCTTTCTGAGTCCCGGGGATTCTCGCGCCTCTCTCCCATCTGCTGCAGCACAGCCGAAGGGGCCTGGGGGCCCCACGTCACAGGGAGCTGGTGGCTTGTTGGGTCCCTCACCTGGAAACGACTGCTCAGCTCCAGGTCGGCGTCCACGTTATGTGGGAAGATGGGGCATTTAATCATGCCTGCCTCTAACCGGGGGCCATGACACTGAGGTCCGGCCCTGGGTCTGACGCCGACTGCCCGAGAAACCCTCCGCAGGCACTGGCACCGTGGCACACTGGCCCTGTCGCCCGATGGAGCGTGTTGCCCCGACCATCCGCCCGTCTGCAGCGAGGAGCCTGGGGCTTTGCCGCCTGGCATTGGCTTGAGGACGGAGGCAGAGTGGTTCGCGCCTGGTGCTTTGCCTCCTAGGAAGCTTTGCTCACTTACCCAGGACAGGGCGGCGCCAGGAGGGGGCCTCCACCAGCAACTCCGCTGTCCCGCGGTTGCTGCGGTCCTTCGGTGTCCCTCTGACCCCCGCGCCCTGTTCACATCGCAGGAAGCTCGAGCTTTTCTAACCCGGGTCCCTCAGCCCGCTGCCCCGGGGCGGGGGAGAGGCTGTTGTGACCGCAACCTCTTCCCCCAGGACGGCCCCTGGGGCCCCCCCCCCCCCGCCCCTGTTCGCACCATCCATTGAGAGCAGGGAGCTCAGAAGCGCCACAGCCTCCCCCTCCCCCCACCCCCCGCCGCCCTTTGTGTCGTTTTCCATGGGGCAGTTAGAATGCCTCCTCTCCCCAGCCCGGGGCTCTCCTGTGCCATGATGCACTGAGGGCACGGATGGGCGCAGAACTGCGTGCTGGGATAGAGGAGCCCGCCACTCAGTGTCGGTGCCCCCACGACAAGGGGGCCAGCTGCCGGCCGTCGGGGGCTCCAGACAGACTGAAACGCTGATCGCTGTATCGGCTGCATCGGACACAGTGTCAAGTGCTCAGCATGAATTAGGATGTGTCCACTCAACTTGTAACAGTCAGAAGGTTGATTGGCAACCGAGGGCCTTCCATTTGGAACAAACACCTTTCATTTTTAATGCTCAGCCTCCTGAATGCTTTTGCCTAAATGGTCCAATTTTATTATCATTACAACCTGGCGAGGCAGGTACCATTCTACTGACAAAATGAAGCTCGGGCTGCCAGATGTGCCATGGTCCCAGCGCCGGCCAGGACCAGGCTAGGACCTCGAAGCTCGGCTCGTGGGCCTGGGTGGCAGGGGCTGGATCCGCTTCCGTGGGAGCACAGGCTTTGGGGGCGCGGGTATGGACGGACGCCCACCATGGGCCGGTCCCACGTGTCCTGTCCTCACGGGCGCCCTCCCCGGGGCCTTCGAGGGGGGCACTCCCCTGAACAGGCACACTGCCTCCCGTCTCGCGTCTTCCCGGGACCTTTGGGGTTTGCGCTTTGTCCGTCTCCATTAAAGGTGAACCACTTTATTGCTCTGTTTCTTAGTGGCCACTAAGTAAATCATCAGATGGATGTGCAGTGTGCAGCAGGGGTGTATGAATAATTGAGTGCCCTGAAATAGACTTTTGTTGTTACAGCTTGCCAAGAATATTGGGAATGCAGGCTTCAACGAGATTATGGAGTGCGGCCTCCCCGCCGAGGACTCGGTCAAGCCCAACCCGGGCAGTGACATGTAAGTATGGCACTGGCTGTTCTCGCCTTCTGACTACAGGCGGGCCTTGAACCTGTGTCCTGGACACAGGAGGATAGCAAGCGTGGGTACCCTTGCTTGTTTCTTCAGGGAATAAATCAGTCTGATTTGTTGTTTTTGTTGTTGTTGTTTCAAGTCCCCTTAACCTTTAGGGGTGTCCCACTAGAAATTTGCTGCGGCTGATTCTCGTAGGAAGAGGCCACCGCAAAGCTGGGCTGGGGCTCCGAGTGTGAAGGAGGCGTGGTGCGTGTCGCCCTCTGCTGGTGGTGTGTGGAGTCACACCTTCCTTCCTTCCTTGGGGAGCGTGGTCTCTCTGGTCCTGAGTGTCTCTGCATCCATCTGAGCCCCTGAGAGGATCACGCCCCCTTCTCTTCCCCAGTGTCCTCCCAAATGTGGAGTGTCTTGTTTCCTTAACAGAAAACTTTTGTTTGTTTTACTGGGGATGCAAAACCTGATGGAGAAGCCCCCGAGCCTCATCACGCACCCGCCTTGCCACACAGAGTGCGAATCACCAGATCATGCTGGGTGTGGGGGGCGCTGGGGGCCCGCCTGGTCAGCGCGGTGCCAGGCCTGCCAGCTTTAGACTTGTGCCCTGGCAGGCAGGGGCAGCCCATCTGCCCACGCGAGGCCCGGAGCGTGGTGCTCAGGGGGCAGAGGAAGGGGAGCGGGCGAGCAGGGTCCCCAGGCCGCAGAGGCAGCACGTGCACCTGAGCGGCGTGTCTGGGCCAAGGTGCCCGGAGGAGCGGAAAATGAGAAGTCGGTGATGAGAGAAAGTATAAAAACTCGTTTGTAAGGGCAGCATTTCCCTTGGAATAAGCCTGAGGTAGACTCGATGGCACGGGTCCTCCTAGAGGACATTGAGCAGTGACCGGTAGCTTCAAATATACAAACAGGTGAGAGCATACAGGCCCTTTGTAAAAGGGAATTCGGGGTTTTATAACCATTTTGTGGGGGCACATCTTGGGGAGCCGAGGTTGCAGGATCTGTGCTCTTCTGTGCTCTGGTGAGGTGGCCTCGCGTGGCCAGGGAACTGAGACCCCTGAGGGGCCCGCGGGCACCGTGTCCAGCGCACGCCCTCCCGGGCATCAGGAGTCGGGGGGAGCCTTTCCTGCAGACAGAGTAGTGGGTGGCTTTAGAGTCCAGGCACAAAGCCATCATCCGCTCTGAGTGAAGGTCTTCGTTTCAAATCCGTGTTCTTACCCCGACCTGGGGAGGGAGGTGGGACACAGGAATCCCAACTTTTATCTGATTGTGGGACTGAAATCTGTGAACCCCTTGGAGCCCATTTCCCGCAATGTGGGGGGGGGGCAGGACTCCCGCCCCACAGCCCCTGGGGTGTCGGCGGGGCGGGGCAGGAACACCTGTCTTACTGCCCTGGGGGTGCGCCACAGGGCCGCACGCTGGCCCCACGCTTCCTGGAAAACTAGGCTCCTCCCAGGTCGGGTTTCCATTGGAGAGGGGCCAAAGGTGAGCTGACTCCTCCCGGGGTCTTTGGAACGTCCCGTGTAGTCAAGGACACGCTGTGGCCCAGGTAGGGACAAGTCATCTACTGTGTGATCGATACCTGCTCCCATGCTGAAGGTCCAGGGTGCTGAAACTCTGCCCTGTGGGTCCGTCTTGAGCAAAGTAGATGATAAATAATTTCTTCCAAGTGCCAAGGGTACTTTCTAAAGGCAGAGATTTTGCTTATTCTGGGGCTTGAAGGTTCTAAACCACAAATACCGTCTGCTGGGAGCTGTGTGATGTAAACATTCTCTCTGCATTGGGACCCCTGCCCCACCACGTTTTCATGATTGAAAAGGAGATTTACTCCTTCCGCTCCTTTTTCTCCTGAAGGAGGATGGGTGGAAGCGGCAAATCACCACCTGCACCCACTCCTCCCTGCAGTCTCGCCGGGCCCTCTGGGCTTCCCTGGCGTCCGGCTCTGCTCTGACACGTTCCCTCCCACTTTACGTTACTCCTAGGCGTTTACGTATATTCTTCTGAAAGGTTACATCTTGGGCACTTCTGTACTTCCCACCACAATATGTTGATTGTGGTGGGAAATATACATTTAATGAAGCAACAAGTCAAAGATAAAGCTCCAGGCCTGTGGCTACATAGATAAGCCAGTGTTTTACTTCCAGGTGAAATGGAATGTGCTGTTCCTGGATTTGTCTCACACGACACCCCGCCCGTGAGAACCAGATGCATCTGGGGGCGTTGGCAGACACAAGCAGGCGGGAGGGGCGGCCGGAGGGGAGCCGTCCACAGAGGCCGGAAGCGCTGCTGTCCCGTGACGCGGGACTCTTGCTTACCTAGGCCCTGGTCTCCTGAAGGATAAGCAGCCCTCCTCCAGAACAGCATGCGAAGTGTGTTGTTATATAACTTCATTGCTTTTCTCCAAAAGCCTAAGCCTTTCAGAAAAACCCTGGGGTGGGGTGGGGTGGGGGGGTCACGCGGCAGTAAAGGTCACAAAACCTTGGCCAGGTGGGCAGGCAGGCAGGCCACCCCGAGAGCTCCTCTAAGAGAGGGCAGGGCAGGCGTCTGGAGGGGACCCAGGAATGGCTCTTGCCAGAATGCAGGTCACCTAGGAGAGAAAGTGCGGACCGCGTGCCACGCAGAGGCACGTGGGTCAGCAAAGGCGGGGGGCACGCGGGAGCGGGTGAGGGAAGCGGTGCGGTGGGGTTGGGGCCCAACCGCAGGAGGACAAGCAGAGACGAGGCCAGCGCGGCAGGCGGGCTGAGAGCGGGCGGCCCCACCCCGTGCACAGGCCGTCCACCAGCCCAGGGCCCCAGGGCCCCTGCGCTGGGCCTTGAGGCCTCCTGTGTAGGAAACTAGAAGGGTTCGATGCTCCTTGAACACGCTCCAGGTGCCGCCGTGAAGACAGGTGGTACAGCCGTCACCTGCCGGCGGCCTCCCTGGTTGAGCTTCCTATGAGGAGGGCAGGGGCTGGATTTTTATGAAAGTCGTCATAGCCCATAGCTGAATGGATGTTGGATATTTGAATCGAGGCCCTCGGTCACTTACAAGGCCCTTGCGCTTGCTCCCAGGAACGCCAGGAAGGACTACATTACCGCCAAGTACATCGAGAGGAAATATGCGAGGAAGAAGCATGCGGACAGCGCAGCCAAACTGCACAGCCTGTGCGAGGCCGTCAAAACAAGGGACATTTTTGGGCTCCTCCAAGCATATGCTGATGGTGTGGATCTCACAGAAAAGATCCCACTGGCCAACGGACACGTAAGCATGCGGCCGGCTACTTTGAACAAAGGAAAAGAAAGAGGGAAAATATCGAAAGTCCGGGAAATAGAAAGGCCAGCAAAATAGCGGAATCCTGTGCGGGAGGCCGGCGTGGAGTTCTAGGGGCAGCGGCGGGGGAGCCTCGGGCCAGGCCTCAGCGGCAGGTCCCTGGCCCCATGAGGCAGGGGCTGACGGCCTGGCGCACCCCAGCCCCAGGCCCCTCCCCCTTGCCGCAGGGAACCCGGGGGGCGGGGAGAGACTGCCCCCCCCACCATTTCCTCAGAACTTTTCTGAGAAGTCAGGGTCTCCTTGTCAGGATCCCCGGTGTCACGGGTCTGTGCGGGCCCTAACTCCTTCCGCAGGAAGCCTGTGGGCACACACGCCTGCTCCCCCGAAACCTCCTGGCCCCCAGAATAAAGGCACAAGGGGCTGGGGTCGCCCCTTAGCGGCTGAGGATGGAGCCTCCCACGTGTTTGGGGCTGAGAGAGAAGGCAGGCCATGGCGGGGCGGGGCGGGCACCCTCAGCTCTGAGCTGTGCCTCCGCAGGGGCAGGTGGTTGGCGTTACCTGCCGCTCTCACGCCGCCGGACACCACCCTCGTTCGGTCGCTTCCCCCCGGCGCACCAGAACCTGCTCGCAGAAAGGGCAGCGGTGGCCGTGTGCCCCTGCCTCGTAGGAACTGCAGACAGTCCAGGTGGTGGCATCAGTGGCCTTACCTATGTGTACAGGATGAAAATCTTTGACTTGTTTTTTAAATACACATTCATACATATGCGGGGGCAGGTAGAAGAGGCTGGCGTGGGAGGCCCGGAACCTTCCTGGAGTCTTGAAAATGAGACCCCTGCTAGGGTCTCTCATGATGGTCATAAGGGACAAGGATAGAGGACGGGGAGGGCTATGAAATGAAACCCCTGAGTTACTCGTTGTCTCCTACGGAGCAAGAAGAAGCAGGACAGGCTGCCAAGTCCCCACAAGTGCAGGTTCCCACAGGCAGAGCCCCCCGTGGAGGTCGGGGGGCACTGTAGCTCAGGGATGGGTATTGGGAAGGGAAGGAGGAAAGGCTTTGGGAAGAGAGCGCTGGGCACGGGTGGAACGATCCTCTGGGATTCTGGAGCGCTGTTTGCTCCGCAGGAGCCGGATGAGACCGCCCTCCACCTCGCTGTCAGATCCGTGGACCGGACTTCTCTGCACATCGTAGACTTTTTAGTTCAGAACAGGTAGGTGCTCTGGAATGGGGAGGTGTTTGATTTTGCTCCTTGGGGCTCCTGAGGGAGGAGTCAGGTGTTGTGCGGCCAAACGCTGGACTTTTCCTGGGTCCGAGCGTGAGTTGTGGCCCAGGTGGGGTGTCCCGGGCAACCCTAGGGGAGCCTGGAGGGTGAGGACGGGCGCCCTCCGCGGGACCCACAGGACACAGCTTCTGGGGTCCGGGTCTCAGGGAGACACCAAGCTCCGGAGAGCAGACTGGCTGTGATGTTTGAGTGGCTTGTCTCACGTCTGAGGCACCCGAGTGCCTTTCGGAGGAGACTGGTCTTGTTTTATGTTGGAAGGACCTTTGAAACCCCTTGAGATTCCCCCGGAGCCCCTTCTCAGGGCCGGTCCAGGGCGAGCAGGCTCAGAGGGGCCTGGGGACTTCGGACTTTGAAAAAGTGGCTTTTTCTTTTCTGGTGAAAAGTGTCCATAGTAAGACGGAAGAAGCTTGCCCTCCCCTCGGTGGGGCAGGATGGGCCAGTCATGCGGACCTCGGTGGCCTCTGGGATCTGGTGGGGACGCGGGAGGATCGTGGTGGTGCAGGGCTGTCCGGGAGGGCGGCGCCCCCGGGCCCCTGCTCAGGCGCAGCACGGGTGCCCGGTTCCCCTTTGTCCTTCTCTGCCATCTCCGCCAGTTCCCTGGGGGCCTAAGTCCGGGACACCCCGTCCACAGGAGCAGGGGTGGCGCTGTCCCACCCACCTTGCGGGAGGGTGGAGACTCATCCTTCGGGCCACTCTGAAGGCTCCCCGCTCTCCTGCTCATGCCCTCCAGCCGTGACTCACTGCTCTCTCTCTCTCTTCCCCGCTCCCGGCCAGTGGGAACCTGGATAAACAGACAGGGAAGGGCAGCACGGCCCTGCATTACTGCTGCCTGACCGACAACGCCGAGTGCCTGAAGCTCCTCCTGCGGGGGAAGGCCTCCATCGAGATAGGTGAGCGGCCGGCCGCCTGCCGCCCACGTCCCTGCCGAGGCACGCGGAGCACACGGTCCCAGCGGACACTGGGCTGCCATCGGGGCTGAGGACAGAGACGGGGCCTCCCCGTCAGCATCTTCATCCGGAGATGGCCCATCATTTGCAGGCAACAGTGGGTGATAAGGGACAGAGAAGACAGGCCCTGCAGCCGTCCCTGAGGCTGAGGGCGGTTTAGGCAAGGGCTGGGGCATCTCGCCCTCCTGCTCATAACCTACACCTGGCCCCGGGGTGGCAGGTGCACCCAGTCTCCTCCAGGAGGGGCCCTTGCTCTGCCTGGCCTCCACCCTCGCCCGCCCTGGGTCCCCACCCTCCAGCCGGGCACGCGCAGCCCAGTGGCATCCTGCCAAGCTGGGTCATTAGGAAATGCTTGTGAGGACTATTGGAAAGGAGCAAAGAGGCTAGATGGGAGGCAAATGCCTACCTGAGACCCAGGTTTCTTTTTTAAAAATTAATCATCCAACCTTGTTGACTGAGGCTTATTTAGAAGAAAGGACACAGTTTCAAAGTTATAGACAGCTTCAGAGGCGGCGTGACGTTTATCACCAGCCGTGCCGGGCTGCCTGCGTCTCCACCAACCGTGCCTGCGGTTGGGCGCTCACAGTGAACTGTGGTATCCACCTGGAGTCTGGAGGTCGGCTTGCCTTGGTTGGCTACTGCGGTGGTTTAATTTTCCTGATTAACGCCAACCTTGTCTTGTAAAATCCCCCCGGCCTTTCACGGCTGTAGTTCGGTGTGCCTATAAGACAAATTCAGCCCCAGCTGGAGCAAACTGACCGCAGATCTCATCGGTTGTGTTCCATTTAACTCAGTGCCGCTCCTCTGTACCTTTTATTGCCTCGACGTCAAACGTTCACGTGTTTCTGTCGCCCTGCCTTTCAGCTAACGAGTCAGGAGAGACGCCACTGGACATTGCCAAGCGCCTCCGGCACGAGCACTGTGAAGAGCTGGTGAGTCCACCGAGGACGGGCAAAGCCAAGCTCCCGCCTGGGGCAGGCTTTCTCTGGGTCCTGGTCGGATGGGGTGGCCTGGGAAAGTCGCTTGGGGAGCCTCAGAGAGGATGTGGCTGCCCCCTCCTAGTGACACCTGGAACATGAGTTTGTGTTCACTGGCGTCACGTGTAGCCAGCGGCCCTGGCGTTGTCTGGGGCACGTGGAGCGGAGGCCTGGAGGCCGCCCCCGCTTCGTCGCTCTTCTGGAATGTCGAAGATGTGAGCTGGCCCCTTCGCAGCAGCTTGCTGCAGCGGGCTTTCTTATTCCGCTGCCAGCCCCACATGATTTGTTGTGATGTGCCATCTTTGTCCTGTTCTGAAAGAAGCCGTGTGGCCCATGGACAGAGCCCGCCAGGGTCAGGCAGGCCCTAGTTTGCGGTGGGGACCCACTGCTGTGACTGGGGAGAATCATGCCATGTCTCTCTGCTGTCTCCTTATTTGTAAAGTGGAGTCCGTTACACCAGTTTGCGAGGTTGTGAGAGTTGCTGTGGACTCTGCAAACAGGTGCTCAGTCAATGAGCTGTTAACGGCCACTGCAGTAGAAGTAAGGGGAAGATAACAAACAGGTACTATTCTAAGCACTTTATGGCTATTAACTCACTTAACCTTGATGACTACTTTATGGTAGGCTTTCTACTGTTATCTCCATTTTACAAATGGGGAAACAGCACAGAGAGGTTAAGTAACTTGCCCAAGGTCACACAGGCTACTCTCCGGCAGTGCAGAAAATTAAGCCCTAATGTCCTGAGACACCCCGTGGTATCTAATGACTTGACTTCTCTCCTGTGCCTCTAGAATAGAACTGTCTGCCTTCCTTGGGAGAACAGAGGACATTCGTACGTCATTTTCTGCAGGGCTTAATTCATATTGGTTGAGAAAGGCTGGGTTAGCAGCCGTGGACACACCGAGTGTGCTCCCATGCGCAGCGGTCAGTACGTACAGGCCAACCGCTGTTCTGTGGATCTCAAATGTCCCCCTGCCTGTGTGCAGTTTAGAGCGCTTAAGGGGAGCGAGGACGTTTGAGCCTCATGGTTATCTGTGAGTTAGGGAGGGGGGCTTAACCTAAGACCCAGAGATTTACATAAGCCAGCCCTGTAATGGAAGGCCAGCTCCCGGCCCCACCCCCACTCCCACCCCAGGGCCTTTCCTCCTTTTGGATGGCTGGGTGGATGGGCGCCTGCTTCCCGAGCTGCCTGCCCAAGCTGAGAGCCTCCCCCAGGGCGGAAAGCCTCCTCCCCCAGCTGAGAGCCTCCTGGGCTGTGAGCCTCCAGGGCTGAGTGCCTTCCAGGGTCTGAGAGCCTCCCCCCGGGGCTGAGAGCCTCCTCCCGGGCTGAGAGCCTCCAGGGCTGAGTGCCTTCCAGGGGCTGAGAGCCTCCTCCCCGGCTGAGAGCCTCCAGGGCTGAGTGCCTTCCAGGGTCTGAGAGCCTCCCCCCGGGGCTGAGAGCCTCCTCCCGGGCTGAGGGCCTCCCCCAGCTGAGAGCCTCCCGGGCTGAGGGCCTTCCAGGGGCTGAGAGCCTCCCGGGCTGAGTAGCTTCCAGGGTCTGAGAGCCTCCCCCAGGGCTGAGAGCTGCCTGCCCAAGCTGAGAGCCTCCCCCAGGGCGGAAAGCCTCCTCCCCCAGCTGAGAGCCTCCCGGGCTGAGGGCCTTCCAGGGGCTAAGAGCCTCCCCCCCGGGGCTGAGAGCCTCCTCCCGGGCTGAGGGCCTCCCCCAGCTGAGAGCCTCCCGGGCTGAGTGCTTCTGGGGGCTGAGAGCCTGAGCTGCATCACCCACGGTCCTTTGTTCTCCTCAGCTGACCCAGGCCCTATCCGGAAGGTTCAATTCCCACGTCCATGTGGAGTATGAATGGCGATTGCTCCACGAAGACTTGGACGAAAGCGATGACGACATGGATGAGAAGTTGCAGGTCCGTTCCAGGCCGTAAACGTTAAGAGTTCCATAATAAGCTCTGTTCAGAGTGGTTCCTCGCCTGAAATCAGGGCAGGAAGCTGTTTTGTAAAAAGAAAATAGAGCTTAGTTTTGCTTGCGTTGATCTCAGCAGGTTTTGGACTGGCAGCTCCTAACACACCTTAATGTAAAGGAACTGAACGCATTGACGATGCCCCCGCAGGCAGCCGCTCCCCGTTTGACAGGAAGGGAAGATGAGGAGGACTTTAGATCCTGGTGGTTTGGGAGGAATTCGCACACTGTGGGTGAAGGGGGAAGAGCCCGGTTCCCCCCAGTCAGTGCTCAGGGTCACCTCGTGGAGCTTAAAAACCTTAACTGAAGTCATTAAATGACACTTGGCGCTCATTGGCTTTGAGCCTTTCCTTTGTCAGGCGGGGTCATCGAAGCCTAAGAGAGAGGTTGGCTTGGCCACAGTGAAGCAAGTGCGCAGAGACCAGCTTAGGGCCAGGCTGAGAGCGCCTGCCTCCTGGTCCCAGCGCTCCTTGCCACACACCCCTGGGGGACCCTGGATGGTGGCCACCTTCACACAAGCGTCAGAGTGGAGGTCAGACTGGCAGACTGACCGCCAAGCGCCCCCCCTCCCCGCCCCGCCCCAGGCTGCCGTGAAACCAGTCGGGGAGGCCACGTAAAGTTCCCAGTGTTGCTGTAGGACGTTAATGTCCCGACGTGTACGGGGGATGCCTAATTGGGGCATGTCTGAAACCCGGGCGACAGTCCTTGTGGGGGGAGCACCCGACGGACTCTCAGAATAAGAAGCTCCTTCGCCGAGCCAGCTGTAAAACAGGATCACAGTGAGAAGAGCTGACTAGTTTATACACTCCCACCTTCAAGAAGGTTAGGAACGTCTGCCCGGGGCGAGTGCCTCTTCTTCTTGAAGCGCGCTTCACGTCCCCGTCCTGTGGGCAGTGACCCAGCAGGTGGCCCCATCCAAGTAAACACCCAAAAAGAAGTGGTCTGGCTTGGAGCCCAGACACACCCCCTCCTGCTCTGTTTCCAGCAGCGCATGCGGCAGCTGTGGTCAGCGCGTGCAGCCGTGGGTTTCGTGGGAGTTTAAAGATACACGTGCAGGGCCAGCAGCCGTTGGGCTCTGCACACCTGAGCTGGGCTTGAGCCGAGGGGTGGGCCAGAGCCCGGCCGGGCGGGTTCTCCTGTGAGGTGTGGGCGCACCCGCTAAGCCCTGGCACTGTGCTAGAGAGGCAGTTAAAGTCACCCCTGTTTAACAGATGAGAAACAGGGTTGGCACCATTAGGGAGGTTGCTTAGGATCATTGCTGTTATAGTGAAGCTGACATTTGAAATATGAGTCAGATTTCATTTCCCCGAGTCATGACGCATGTGAGCTTTAGGTAGAACAGGGGTCGGCAACCTTAAAGTGCCAGACAGCAAATATTCTAGCCTTTGTTGCTACCACTCAGCTCTGCCAGGGTAGCCCAAAAGTAGCCATAGGGAATACGTAAATAACCGGACATGGCTGTATTCCAGTAAAGCTTTATTAACAAAAACAAGTAGGGGCCCATGGCCATAGTTTGCTGAGCCCCAGATTCGAGACATCTCAAGAGCTCCTGTTCATTCGGGGGGAGGAGGTTGCGTTCCCCTGAGGGAGCCCTCGAGCCGCTGGGTGCCCAGCATAGCCACGCCATTTGTCATCTCAGAAAGCAGGGTTATAAATGGGAAATGCAGGGGCGGGCTGAGGTAACTCTGGCTGGTAAAGATGAAGTAGCTTCTGTTTTAAATCCTCCACAGGGGGGAGCATTGTAGGTTGTCAATCAGGGCACTTTGGGTGTGTGTGTTTCCATTTGGAGACATGTCTTTTAAATCTTGCAGCCCTTATGTGACCGTTGAGAGCAGGGTGCACAGTGCCTGAGTAGAAGTGGTGCACAGGAGGTGGTCACCAGTAGCTTGAACGCTGTGACCGAGAGATCAGTGTGCCTGCATTTTGCTCACCTGCCCACCACCCCTCTGCAGCCCAGTCCCAGTCGGCGAGAAGACCGACCGGTCAGCTTTTACCAGCTGGGGCCCAACGCGGCATCTTTGGCCAGAGACGCCACCAGCCTGGCCAAGGACAAACAGAGAAGCTACGCGCCTAGCATCTTGCAGAACGAGACGTACGGGGCCATCCTGAGTGGCAGCCCGGCTCCCGTCCAGCCCGCGGCCCCTGGCACCACCAGCGCCCCGCCGCTGCCCCCGCGGAACCTGGCCAAAGGTACTGAGCTCCAGAAGCCTAGCCGGTGCGAGACTGGTGTGGTTCGGGTTTTTGTTTTGGGAGGTTCATAGCTGCTCTGCTTCCAACTCACTGAGCTGTGGGCCAGCGTCAGGATGGCCTGTTTCATGGGGGCCTCTTGTTTTGTAGTTATGCTGTTTGCTTCCAAAAGGAACGCCGTCATGCGTAGCGCACCGCACGATGTAGAGCATCTTGATTTGGCTCTTGTCCTGGGCGGAGGGGTGGCACCTGGCTGCCTCGGGGAAGGCAGAGGCTCCTCCCGTGCCCCTCTGTCCAGCCCTTTCCCCTTTGCTCTTGACCAATTGTGGCACCCCCGCCCCCCGCCTTCATTCTTTGTTATTTCTCCGCGGCCTGCACGCGGGCAGCTCATGGCCCCTGCGATCACCTCTTACTGCTGTGATCCCCAGGAAATGGAGGGTAAAATGATGCTTAACTTGGGGACACTTGTAAAATTGTAAAAATACAAACTAGCTTCTGCGGTCCCAGCAGCGCCTGAAGGGCCAACGCTCGCTACACTCCGTCACTCTGCCACCACGTGTAGGGAGTTTGACTCAACAGGTGCTATTTTTTGTTTTTCTAAAAATGGAAAATGAAGGCCCCCCCGCCCCAAGTTAAGTGATTTTCCCAGCACTGGTGCCCCGCCGGCCATGAGGTTCCGGAAGGCGAGTCCAGCAAGTGGCCCGCCCACCCGTCGCTGGGCTGGGGCTGCCAGCCGCGACCAGTCATCTCGGGCGGCCTGCCAGGGAGCGGCTGGGGCCTCTGAGGGGCGTGAAGTCCAGGCAGGGAGGCTGTACTGGCTGCTAGTGGTCACAGGAGAGCGTCCCCGTCGCATTGGTGTGGCCGCTTCTCCCTGGGAGGGGCGTGTAGGGCCGCGGGGGCCGAGGGGGGAGCTCGGCAGGTGCCGTCAGGCTGGGTCTGCGCTCCCGCGTGGCTGGGCCACCCCCGCACCCAGGCCCGCACTGTCCTGGGCGTCTCGCAGACCCTCCCGCACAGCTCCAGGAGGCCCAAAGAAGGCGACCGAGCCTGTCCTCCCGTCACCGTGCCATACCCACCAGGAGGAGGCCCTGGAAGCCAGCCTGCTCACCTCCCCGGCAGAGCCCACGGGCCCGCAACCGGGCCCGGTGGGAGGACACTGAGCGGGAAGGAAGCTGTGAAATCCAATCCCACAGCTGCCTCATCCTCCCTGCCACCCTCCCCGGCTGCTCGGGAGGCGCCCAGGGCAGGTGGGCGCAGCAGTTGGGGTTCGGTCCCTGGGGGCACCTCACTGGCTTCCCCTGTCCCCCTCCCATGTCTGGGCACGCCCATTAATTTTGTCATTTGCACCCCATCACTGGCTTGTACTGGTTGTGCGGTCGTGCGCGTCCCATCAGAAAAGATTGTACTTTGTTCTGCTGGGTTGTAGAGAAGGAATGGGAAGCTGTTCGTTCTTATTTCTTGCTTTCCTAATAGCCTAGAAAGGAGGGTTTTGGTTTTTCTCTTCCCGTTTCTTTTTGCGATTTCTGGCACTTGGTGACATGTCTTCCTTCGATGATTGTGCTTCCCCCAGCTCGCCCCCGAGAGGGACTCGGTCTCTGTCGAGCCCACACCTGGTCTCACGTGGAGGCCCCACCCAACAGCCAGGAGAGGGGTCGGCGAGGTCACGCCCGCCCTGGGTGGACCCTGTCCACGGCAAAGCCTCCCCGGACGCGGGGCCTGCCCTGTGTGCCGTGGCCATTCGCTCTCCACGCACAGCCCCGTGGGAGCCCAGCACAGCCTCAAACACGGGCCCCCGTACCCCTGGGCAGCCGCTGCCCCGTGAGGACGCACACCGAGCTTGGTGGGGCAGAGGGAGGACTGCGGCCGGAGCAGTGCCACTGCCCTGGTGTGTCCCTTGACCTGCTTGGTGTCGCCTCTGCCCGTGTCTAGCTAGAAGAGTGTTTGCGGAGGTGGGAGAGAGCCTTCACCTGGTGTCTTTGATTTGCACCTTTGTCCCCCTGTGTTTCCTCTGAGGACAGGTCCCCCCCACACACAGACACACACCCCACCCCCACTGTGGAAGAACTGTGACCCCCCAGGCCGGGGGGAGGACCTCAGGGATGGAGAGACACGCCGAGGTCCCGTGACTGGCGCGCAGTGCTCAGGGCGGGTCACCTGGCCACTGAGTCTCCTCTTCAAACAGTAGTGGCCCCGGAGAACTAAAGTCGGCAAGATTGGAGCGCCTCGGAATCAGTCCCCCGGGCACCAGAGAGAGCTGTTTGCAAGCTCGGCCGCTGCCCGTGGCCTCGGCGCTGTTCCAGAGGCGTCCCGCTCACCGACCTACGAGGGAGAGGGTCAATAATGCAGTGTTCTGTTTCTGTTTCCGCTGTCTGTGCGTGCCTGCGTGTGCAGCCCAGGCAGCCTCCTGCGCGAACGCCCTGTGGAAGACGAGCTCTGTAAGTGTGGACGGTGTAAGCAGGCAGCGATCTTCGTCAGATCCGCCAGCTGTCCACCCGCCGCTGCCCCCTCTCCGCGTGACGTCGACCAGTACGTTGTTTCCTTTCTCCTTCCTGCCGGTGGGCTTTGTAGACCTGGACGGCTGGGTGGGGAGAGCGCTGCGGAGCCCCCCGCCCGCCCGCGCAGACACTGCGGGTGCCCAGGGCTGCGTGGGGGACTGTGGCTTTCCTGCGTCCCCAAGCCCTTCGGCCTGCTCCTCCCCGGCCGCACCCCCTGCCTGTCGGGCCCCCGCCCCAGGGGCTCGGGGCTGCCTTCTCTGTCTCCCCAAGCGTTTCCGCCCCGTTTCCGTCTTCCTTTCCTGCGTCAGCCTGAGCTGCTTTTCCTGTGGCCTTTTGGTGGGTCTCAGTATTTGGGCTCATTCAGATTGTAATCTGGTATGTGTTTCTCTTCAATGTCAACATGTGGGTGGCAGCCCCAGAGCCTGGGGGATGGGTGGGGAGGGCTTTTCTCCCGGCTCCCCCGAGAGCTTCCCCGCGGTGTTTCCCACCTCCCTGAACCGCAGTTCAGATGAGAGAAGCCCAGGCCAGCTGCAGGCGGCGCCCCCACGGCAGCTGCCGGCAGGGCAGGGAGCTGTGTCGCAGTAGGCCTGGGGGTGAGAGGGGGGTCGTCCAGCTCAGACACATCCAGGTCGAACAGCACAGGGGCACTCAGAAGGTTACAGGGGACATGGCAGGTCCTGGGGGCACCTGCAGCTTCCAGAAGCCCATTTTCTGCCTCTCACACTAGAGTCTGCCTTTCGACTTTTCCTTTAAGGCAGAAAAAGGAAACAGGAATGAAAAAAAAGAAAAGAAAGGCAAGCTCTCAACTGAGTCCTTCCTGAGTGACAGGCGGGGCACCTCACCTCCACCCCTGGCTGTCCTGGAGGCGGGGGGTGGGGGGGCTGCCGCCGCCTCAGGCGTCAGCGTCCGAGGCAGGTGTGCGCCTCAGCAAGGACGCTGGCCGTGGAGGGGGAGCGCCGCAGTGGGCAGGGAGGACAAGGCGGGGGAGGAGGCGTGGGCTCCGGCCCGCACCCTGCCTCCCAGCCCAGTGACCCCTGGGGAAAGCACGTCCCGTCTCTGAGCCTCAGCCTCTTTGCATGTCCTGGTCCCTCACGGACGGTGGGGCCTGTTCACAGTTAGCTCTTCCCAACCTTTGCTGACGTGGACCTGCTTGCAGCCAGGGAAACGGGTCAGTCGGGCTCCTGGGTCCAGACCACAAAGAGAAGCGACCCCAGAAGGGCCGACTCCCCGGGGACAGGACCGGGCCATCTGCCTGGGCCTCGGCCTCGGCTGCTTCTCCTGCAGGCCCCAGGGCGCAGGGCCACTGGCCAACCATCTCGACTCCTCCACGGGAATTCTCTCGGAGAAAATTCTCACAGGCCCACAGGAACCTTTTAGTCCTAACTCGAGGCTCAGAAGGGGTCCCCGCCAACACCATTTACTGAAAATCAGCGAGGAGCATAGGCTTTTTCCTTACAAGTAGTGATAGAAAAAAAAAGGAAGCCCTTCTTGGAAGAGCCTCTGGGGAGGAGGCTGGATGTGACGCCTGCCGCCTGACCCTCCATGTGTCCCCCTCCTCTTCTCTCTCCACAGATCCCCTGGCTCCCACACCGCCCCCTCCGGTAGCCAAAACGCCCGGTGTGATAGAAGCCTTGAGCCAGCAGAACAAGCCGGCCCAGACCGGGGCCCCGCTGGGCAAAGCCACACCCCCGCCCCTGCCGCCCCAGCCGCCCAGCCGCCTCCCTCAGAAGAAGCCTGCTCCCGGGTAAGGTCCCCGCTTCCCCGTCCCCCTTCCACACCCCCCAGGGCCTAGCCACATTGGCCATCCTCGCTTCCTGCGTTCAAGGAGGTTCCACGTGGCCCGTTAGTTCATTGGCTGAGATTTCCGTGCCAGCATCTGGAATTGCCCGGTTTCTACCACTGTAGTGGCTCAGGTCAAGGGACTGTATGTAAAACTGTATGTAAAAATTTCATACAAATGTCTGTGTTACATCCACATGATGAATTCAGATTTCTCTTTAGTACAGTCAGTGAGGTTGTGGGAGTTAAAGTCCTTGACACACGAGGCCTCTTGGTTGTGTTTGTTGCTCGCTCACAAGGCTGTCTCGGCTCCATGGACCTTCTGCAGGCAGGGCGTGCGTTTTCTACAAACCAGGACGTTCTAGAGAAATAGAATACAGCCCCCCAAGTCAGGAGAGTAATGGGGACACCGCCCCCCCCCCCCCGCCTTCCAGCCCTCAGAGCCCGTTCAGGTTTGCCACTTGCCCAGGTAACGTCCTTGGCTGCGGGGGATCCGTTTCACGCCTCTCAGGCTGGATCCGTATGATGGAGGGTGATTCCTTGCAGTGGAAATGACGTTTAGAAGCCAAGACCAGGGTGCTTCCTGTGCCCATTGCTGAGGGAGGGTGCGCGTCCCAGGCTGGCCTGCTGAGTGGTCTGGAGTAGACACACACACACACATTTACCTCTGCGTTTCTATCTCTGTATTGAAATCCAGGAGTTTACACTGTCTCCAATTTCATTTGTTCTAGTAACAAACCACACCAACCTTACTGACCTAAGACAGGGCCGTTTTCTTGTGCTCACTGCCCTGTCAGGAATTTGGACCGGCGTGGTGGGAATAGCTTGTCCTTGCGCCATAGCATCTGGAGCCTCAGCTGGAGGTGGCTGGGCACAGAGAGGGACTCACCAGCTGGATGCCAGCGTCATGGGGGGCCTCTCAGCCCCATGCACCTGGGGGCGGGGGGCGCCGGCTGAGAGCTGGAGCCCCAGCCGGGGCCGTCGGCTGGTATACGCGGCCTCTCCACGTGGCCAGGCGTCCTCACGTCATGGTGGCCAGGCCCCAGAACAAGTCCCAAGGGATGGGCCTGGCCCTGGAAACCACCGGCCACCCCGTCAGCCATAGGTCACCGGTCCCCCAGCGGCAGAGGCCGGCCCAGTCGGGGTGGGGAAGGTCGTGGGCAGGGCTGTCACAGACTCCAGCTGTCTGTGAAGAATTTGGGGACACTGTTACTCCCTTTTTCTATAATGAGAAAGCTGGCAGCCATGTTGACCTACCTGGCGAGCATGAATTAGTGCCCTACGACCCTGTGAAACAAATCGCGCACCTGCGCCGGTGCCCTCCCTGCTGAGCTCGGGGCCCACGTGGAGGTCGTCTTTGCCCCGCTGGGCTCTCACCACCGCGCCAGCCTCCAGGCCATCCCCTGTCCCCTGCCAGGCGCGGGCCGTCCTGGCCCCACTCAGGCACACCCTCCGTGGCCGCCCCTGTCCCCCGACACCCCAGGGTGGGTCTGTTCCCATCCTTTCAGGATATAATCTTCATCCTTTGGTTCTGAGAAATTTCATTGATTATTTTTAATACCTTCTGTTTCTTCCTGTTCTCAATTTAAAAACAATTCTTATCCAGATGTAAGATCCCCTTGGCCTCTCCTCTTATGAGGGTAAGCTGACTGCGCTGGCTCCTGCCCCCGAACCTCCAGGGTTTAACCTGCGGGAGTTGGCTGCTTGCCCACACAAGGTTGTGTCCATGTTCTTGCTTGCGCAGCAGCCCCGAGGGGTGAGTCGCAGACGCAGACCCCGCCTGCTTCTGACTGCAAGGTGACTCTCCCCCGGGCTCAGGGTTATTTCTAAAGGGGAGTTGTGCTCACCTGTGGGGCTGGAGTGATGCTCCTCCTCCTGTGACCAGAGCTGGTCCCCTGGCCCCACCTAGAGGCCGGGGCTGGAAGTGCAGCTGGAGCGCAGCCCTGGGGAGCCCTGCAGCCTCCTAGTGTCTTTCCATTGCATTGTGTTTGCTTGCTTGCTTTTGAAATTGACTTTTTGGGAGATTGTCTCAATATTACCTTCCAATTTTTTGAACTGAGTTTTTCATTTCTGCTCTCACAGAATTTCGAAGTTAATAGTAGCCGATTTGTTCCATGCAATCATTTCCTCTCAGGTTGTTAATGATGGGGTTTGGGGGTGTTTTCCTTTGTCTTCTGCTTTCCTGTATAATTTGTTTCTTCCCCTTGTTTTGACCTCTGTCATGGTCGAGGCTTTCCTTGTAAATTCCATGTTCCCTGCCTGTAAGTCACCGCCTCGGGGGGGGGCCCTAGATACTGACGGACAGACGGCAGCCCCAGTGCACAGGGCCGCCACAGCGGGTTTACTGGGGAACCCTGACCTTGGGCCTTTTCTTATTTTTAATCTCGGACAATTCAGGTTCCTTGGAAAACAGCCTTCCAGTCTCTTGCCTGAAAGGAGCAGGTTTTCTGGGAGCTGAACGTAGAAATCAAGCTAAGCTTTTGCCTAGTCCCTCTGTTTTTCAAGACACGGCCGCAGCCGCCCCGGGCCCCCCGAGCTCTGGTGCTGCTGTGTCCGGCCAAGGACACGGGCTCCAGGTCCTCAGTGGCGCCAGGGGAGGGGCTCGCCGGGCTTCTCAGAGCCGGGCCGGCATCCAGGGACGCGGCCCCTGGTGCGGACGCTGGCTGGCCCTTGTGTCTGTGCCCTGCCCTCCCCGCACCCCGAGGCCGGGGGCGGGTGTGGGAGCGTCCCCTGCTGTGAGGGTCCCCTCCCTCCGGGGAGCTGGGCCGCTTATGATTCATCCCTCCGCCCCCAGCTTCAGACCTGTCTTTCCTTCCTCAGGTCTCTTTGCTGTTTGGTTTCATGTGTTTTCACTCTTTTCCTTGGGAGAGAGTGGAAGGAAACGGGTTTCGGCCTGCCACCTTTAACCGGAGGACTCCCGGCACCCGTGAATGCTTTCTTTGCAGGCTCTGACCGGCCCGCGGGGACCTGATGGGTGACCGAGCTGTGACGTCAGGGGCTTGCTCTCGGGCCCGAGAATGGCCCAGGCTTGCTTCTCATGGTTCTGGGGCTCCAGTCTGTGCTTCTCTTTGGCTTCCTTCTCTCCTCCCCTGCAGTGCCCTCGGCTTTCTCTTCCCGAGCTGCTGCCCTTTAAGAGACCAATTCACATGTTGAAGTCGTAGCCGAGACCCGGCGGCTGCCAGCCCTTGTCGGGGAGCTCCGAGCCCCAGGCCTCTGTCTGCCTCCCTGCTTCTCAGAAGGGCTCCCACCTGGTGTGCTGGATGAGTTTCCTCTAGCACAGGGTGACCTGGTTCCACCTGTGTCACTGGATCATCCTCTCCCCCGTGGGAGGGGTGCAAAGTGGGGGTGCTCGGTGCGTGTAAGGCAGGTCCAGGTGCAGGGCATCGTGTGGCGCTCTGTTCCTGAAGGAATACATTGCCTTGTCCCCTCCGGAAAGGCCCAGCCCCCTCCTGTTGTTGTGGGGCCCGCAAGCTGAGAATGGCTTTGGACTTTTAAATGATTGAAAAACCAGAGGATTTCAAGACACATGAAAGTTATATGAAATTCGTACGCCCACACATAACGCACCATTAAAACCTGGCGCGCCCATCTGTTCACACGTTACAGCCGTGACGCTGACAGTCGTGGCGGAGACCTTGTGACCCGCAGAGCCTGAGTCTACCCTCTGGCCCCTCAGAGGAGAAGTCTCTTAGAGGGCCAGGCCCCCCCGAGAGCGTTTCATGGTTGACTGAAGGCAAAGGGGTCAGCGTGACGACTCCTGTGGACATTGATGGAAATCGGACGGCAGGACTGGGCAGGTGGGCGGGGCCCTCGGCGGCCCCGCCTGTCCGTCACGTTGCATCACCCTCCCTGTCCTTCTGCGGCCCCAGGCTGGGCTCGTTCAGGAGGCACAGGAAGCGGCCAGCGGGCACTGAGCCTGCTGTCCTGTCCCTTGCTTCGCCCCCATTCCCGTTCCCTCCACCCCTCCCGCCCCGTCTCCAGCGTCACTGGGCAGTGGGCGCTGTGCCAGTGGAAAGGCCTTCAGTGGGGAACTTGAGCTAGTGCCCCTCTCTCAGCTCATAGACATGCTAGCTGTCACTTGTCCTTAGCTTGAGAGTTGACAGAACTGGTGGCATCACACCTTTTGCAGGTGATAGTGCCCGCTCAGAGAACCCCGTTTATCCAGAACAGACTCCCGTCTGCAGCCCCGAGAACTGCGGCTGTCGGATGTGCCAGGCCAAGGCTCACAGGCGGGCCCTGTGCCAGCACCAGCCACGTCAGCTACTGGCAGCAGGGGCTACAGAGCACAGCGGCGCGGATGACGCCAACCAGTGGCACCTGGACAGGGCCAAGCAGAGTCTTGAGGGCTTGGGATTCATTCAGCCCCGCCCTTACGTGACCAAGGCCCTCGAGGGGAAGGGACTGAGCAAATTAGGGGCAGAGCGGGGGCAGGTGCCCAGCTTCCAGCCCCAGCCCCAGGTCACATCAGGTGGGCCCACGGGGACAGGAGCCCTTCGGGACCTGGGATCTAGCACTGTTCTCTGGACCTCTTGTTCTTCCTCTTTCAAAAAAAATTAGAGGTAGTTGAATGACAGTTGATTGAATCAGCTCACCCGTTGCACTGTGAGCACAGCGGCTCTTTTATAACAAGGGTGGAGTACGGGGTAGGTGGCCCGCCGTCAAGCCTCAGGTGTCAGTGAATCTGTTTTCCCTTCTTTGTAGGACTGACAAGTCGGCCCCTCTGGTCAGCAAAGGCCAGCCAAGAGGACCCGGTAATTATCCCATTTATAAAGCTAGCTGGGCTTTATTTCCACTTGGTTAGGGGAGGCGCAGGGCGGGGAGGGGGTGGGCGTTTTGTTTCCAGCTGCGGGCGCCCTGTGTCAGGGCCAGCTGTACGGCACCCTGTGGTCCTGTCACCTGCTGGTGCCGGGGGCGGGTCTGCGCGGGACGAGGCCGTCTCTCTCCTTCTGTGGCACCTGCACCCTCTGCAGAGCGTGTGTGGAAGTCACAAGGTTCTCTGGCCTTTGGGGGACTTTTCCCTCAACAGGTGAGGGAATCCCAGGAAAGCTGCCTTTCAGAGCCGACACTATGGCTTTTGGATCAGTTGTTTCTGTCTCACACTGACCGAGAGGCCCACTGGGGGTCGGTTCCTTTCAGTCCTAACGCAGCGGGTCTCTCTGCAACAGATGCTCTGGGCCCTCTGTCCAACGCTGCAGCCATGCCGCCACCCGCGCCGATGCCCAGGAAGTCACAGACCGTAAGTGGGCGGGCCCCTCCTGTCCTGCACCTGAGGGTTATTCCACGAGGGCTCAGAGGTTCTTTCCCGCTTCCCCTGCCGGGGGTAGGGGGATGGGATGGCTTTGTCCTGGGTACCCAGTGGTTTGGATCCGGGCAGGACGCAACCCCGGAGCTCACCAGCCAGGGTGTTGCTGCAGCTCCAGCTCCAGCCCCCACCCCGCCCCCGCCCCGCCCCGCCCACCTGTCTGGCACCTGCTGCCACGTTCCCAGCTCTCTGCCTGGCCAAGATCTCTTCCCATTTCCCTTCTGTCCCCTGAGCTCCACTGAGCCACCCCTGCCTGACTTGACATCGCTGGGCTCCCAGGCCTTCAGTCAGGAGCCCTGGGCCCGTTCCCTGCCTGGGAGTGGGCGCCTTCCCAGCACACCAGCCCCTGACCCCTGCCCTCCTCCACCCAGACCAAGCTGAAGCCCAAGCGGGTCAAGGCCCTCTACAACTGCGTGGCCGACAACCCGGATGAGCTGACGTTCTCCGAGGGGGACGTGATCATCGTGGACGGGGAGGAGGACCAGGAGTGGTGGGTAAGTCGGAGCTGGGGCCGGGGCCGGGGCCGGGGCCTGGGCCCGGGAGGGCAGGGGCTGGATTCCCGCCCCACTGGCCTGAGGTCTCTTTCCAGGTGGGGACCACTCCCCCCCGACCCCCCCGCCACCACCGTGTGTTCTCAGGCTTGCGGGCCACTATGCCCCTTGCTGCCTCCGATGCCGCATCCGTGTACACCCACCTCTGCCTGGGCCCAATTGGTCCCCAGGTGGGGTCCTCCCTTTTTAGAGGGGGCCGGCCCTTTAGGCTGCAGTTTGAAGAGCAACTCGAGCGTGTGAAGTGAGGCCCCGCGCTGCCCGCCGGCAGTGAGGCTCGTATGGAGAGCAGGGCTGGAGGGCACAGCCTGGTGTCAGCCGTGGCCCTGCAGCGGCCTGCAGCGGCCCAGCGAGCGCCGGAGCGGGGTGAACGTGGCACTCGCCAGCGACCCTGAGAGTCCAGCCTCAGCACTCACAGGCCAGGGACTGGGGCAAGCTGCTTCTGTCGCTGAGCTGTAGCTCCCTGGCCTGTGAGGGGGCCCCCCCGCAGCCCAGGCTGGAGGCGCTAGGGCCCAGGGAGAGGCGCTGAACAGGCGCTAGGCCCCACAGCGCCCCTGGTGGCGCCTGCCTGCGGCAGGGAGACCCTGGCGGGCTGCTCTGTCCACCGAGCTTGGGGAGTTCACAGCGGCTGTGGGGAGGCCAGCGGGACCTGTGGGGCACTTTGCTGGGCCAAGTGTGTGGACTGGAGCGTCGGTCATTAGTCCCTGCAGAGCCCTGATCTGCGTGAGCTGTACCCGCCACCCCGGGGCTCGTGAGCTCCTGGCCTGGCTGCTCTGCCCCGGTGCGCGTGCCTTCCGGTACCTCCCTGCAGCTTCTTTCCCCTTGAGAGCTTCAGGTGTCTTGGTCCCACGCTCTGTCTGTCACCCTTGCCACACACAACGCGGGCAGTGCAGGGGCCGCTGGGGGGTGAGCTCGCTGGGCCCCTCCGGCCTGCGGGGACCTGAACTCTCCACTCCCTCCCCACTGACCCCACCCCTGAGACCGGAAGCCGCTCTGTCTTGCACACTTGCACAGAGCCCACCTGACAACAGGAAACACCTGTTTATTTCAAAACCTGTGGGAATGCGGAAGGCGGGAAGGAGACAGGCGTGAATGCTGTCTGTCCTCTCAGCCCTCTCCCCCAAAAGACATATTTTGGTGATTTTCTTTTCAACTTTTATTTACCTACATAATTTACATTGCTGAGATCATACTTGACGTATAGCTTACATAACTTGCCCAGAGCAAAAAGGAGTGCGTGTTTTTTTGAGGTCTTCATAAATGCATGACTGCGTTTAAATAGGGCCAAGTCCCGTTTGCCGCTTTCTGTGATGTTGCAGCTCACAAACCTTTGGCACTCAATTTCCTCGCCCATTAAAGAAGAAAAGGCAAGTGGCGGCCGTGGTCAGACAGCCGCCTGCCTGCCCCCGACGCTGCAGGGCACGTGGCAGGCCTCCGACGGGGCCCCTTAGGAAAGGGGGCGCACACGCCTCGGAAGGAGGCAAAGGGACGGGAAAAAGAGTTCAGCTGTTTTACTCAAGGGATTCCTTCTCAGAAGACCTCTTCCCCCCTGCAGTTGCTACAGTGCCCTTCCACGTTTCCAACATTTGGAATTTTTATAACATCCTGAACTTTTATTCATTTCAGATTGGCCACATTGATGGAGATCCCGGTCGCAAAGGAGCATTTCCCGTATCTTTTGTGCACTTTATTGCTGACTAAATTGCTACTGAACAAAAACACTTAACAGTTCTGTTCCTGTTTCATTATTGGTACCCAAACTCTTGCCAAATAACCAGCTTCGCAAACTGTACAGTAGACCCACTTTCTCCAGTGCCACTGTTCTGTTTTTAAAACTCAAAGGCAATTTATATATACAAATGAATTGTTTTTATAATTTGTGATTTTCATGAAACATTGCTATACTTTTATTAGGAAAAATTAAATAGCCTAAAAGGTGAACTGAAAAGTTAACTATGTAATCAAGATCCTGAATCTCCGGAATTAGCTAAACGTAAAAACATTTGAGTATTGGAAAGAAATTCTCCCTGCTTTCCTTGACCCATTTCTGTTTGTCAGTGACCTTGAGCATAATTATTGTTTGGGAAGCCAGTAAACTAAATGCTACCAGTTCACCTTTGTAGACTTTCTTTCTTTAAAAAAAAAAAAAATCATTTTAAGATTTCCTTTGAAAGCCACCCAGTGTTTATTTAAAGCCACTTGGAAATTGACACGTTAGCCTTGTACCTTCCAGCCAGAACCCGCGAGGTTGCAACTCTCCTTGTATTCTGCATGTGTGTGTGACCCGTTGTGCACAGTCCTGCCTAACAAAACTACCAACAGAGTGTCATACGATAACAGACCGCTCCGTCCCAGGTTCCACAAAACCGCATTTCTCGAATTTGGTTAAAAACTGAGGATGGAGGGTTGCGAAGGAGTCCTGGCGATGCTTCAGGTGTTTCGGAAATCGCCACCTTGCGCTCCCTTCGTCGCATGGACCCCGGCTGTTCCCACTGGCTCTCCCCTCTGGCTCTCCCCTCTGGTGTGCTGCCGCTTTCCCCTCCTCGCTCATGAGAATGTTTACTCAGCTCAGTGTCCTGTGTTTATATAACATAACAACAGGAATGGTAGTTACACTGTCTTGAAATTTAATGTCCCTTCGTTTGTAATCAAGAGCGTATCAGAGATCTGTAGGTCCCAGCTAACGAAATACTCCCAAACATGTTTTCCTATTGAAGTCATCGTCTCATTCTTAAACTTAAGCTACTGGGGCTGGGGGGTTAGGTTGTGTATGATAAAAATCAAAATTCATTAGCTCAATGCACTTGACTGTCATACCTCTACTTAGCCGTTGTGAGTGTCAGTTCATAGGAGTGTTGGAAATTGGGGCACTCTGAGAATGACCAGGCATGTAGATGCCCACTCGGATTTTCACCAAAAGTGAAGGAATCAAGTTAAGTACAGACTTGGAAAGCGGGGCGGCGGTGCTTTGATTGCATTTGTTGTGATGGTGCATTTGGTTGAAGCAGCCGGTCTTTATTATGCACGACCTTTCTTGTGTCAAGTTTTTGTGTTTTACTTGCTTTTTTGTTGTTGTTGTTGCTCTTAGAAAGGAAGACAGAACAAACTGGAATGTTTTATGATGTCGTATGGCAATTGCTCTTTGCCTTTCAAAATTCCGGGTAAAATGTGTCAGGCGTGTAGTTTTGTTTTTTTTTTTTTTAAAGCACTACATGTTTAAAGCACTATGTTTTCACTAATTGTTCATTTTTGTTGTTTGAACCCTCCATTGAGTTAATTCTCTCATAAAGAAAATAAACATATGTATTTTGCACAGTGCACTTATGTATATTTTAACAGCCCTCCTGCATCTGTGTCTATCAGCCTATTGACTCCTTGGTGCCAGCTATTTAAGGAACTAAAGTTGATTCATATCAACGTTTGAATACCACTCCCAGACTAATCTATCAGGTTCACTGGTACATAAATATCTAGGAAGTATTTTTCCAATCTACAATTTGGTGGTGCTATTGCGCAGTAATTAATATGACTTGCCAGAGAAATTATATTAACTTCCCTGCTAATATCCTTTCCTGGTTATTTGCTCTTTGCAAATTAAAAAAAAAAGGAAACCATTGTAGATACCTATTTATAGTTCAGGTTTATGTTTCATGAACTGAGCTGCAGGATCCTGGCACTTCGTGTGCCACTTCCGTCAGATTGGACGTCCAGGGACAAGGACTCGGAAACACGTGCACAGACTGATGGTTACTGTGTAGTCTGTTAAGGGTGGGCCATGCAATGTGCAGCTTGAAGTGCTCTTTGAGATGTATGATATTTGATTCATTCACTCGATTACTCTGGTCTAGTTGCAGCGCAACTGTATATATTGTATAACCTAAATCAATCCTTATTTTCATTGTCCTTATGCAGTGATTTATAATTAGAGCATGTTTAATAAGTTTACTCTTGTTAACTAGTCATTTGACTAGAAAAAAATAAAATACTTTTAAATGGATATGGTGTTATTTTTGCTTTTAACCCTTCAAGCGTTGTGAAAGGCCTTTAAGAAAATACACAAGCCTTCTGTACGTCAGTCTTTAAACACCACCACTTTTAACTTGAATGTGGTCTTTCAAGGTGCTCTCAGTTCCAAGGTAAATACTGTAGCTTACTAGCATGTTACACAGACAGCACACTGTCAAAGTTTTACTTTTTGGGTTTGGAGTCGGTTTCAGACCAGCAGGACCCATGTCCCCAGGCCAGAGCTCCGAGCCAGAGACCAGTCCCTGGGAGGGACCGCCGAGCAGCCTGCACTGGGACCCTTTGGAGGTTAAGCTTGTGAGTGTCAGCCTGCCAACCAAAGGGTCGCCAGTTTCCTTCCCAGTCAGGGCACACGCCTAGGTTGCCGGCCAGGTCCCTAGTAGGGGGCGCACGAGAGCCAACCACACATTGATGTTTCTCTCCCTCTCCTTCCCCTCTGAAAATAAAGTCGTTAATAATAAACTTTTTGAAAAATAAAAGCAACAAATGAGGTTTCTTCTTTAGTCCCAACAGGCAAATAACATTGGAGAGTTAAGTCACTGTTGTTAAGACATTTTAATAGAAAAACAAATGATTGATACTTTATACATAGCCTTTTTCCCCCAGAAAGTCTAGAGCAAGGAATCACTTCACATTTTCATGCTAGTTCAGCGCGGCAGCCTGGAAACAACTACCGAGAAAACAGCTGAACTTCCGTTCCCAGTCACACTTCCCCTCGCGGCAGAATTCAAGGCTTCTCAGATGTCAATACGGAGTCGAAGGCGGTGGATAAAACTTTGCAGATTGCTTGTGCTTGCTCCTGCATTAAGTGCAAAGGTACAGAAAGAGCTCATAAACCTGTCCCTGAGCTTAATGTGACCAGTAAAGGTAGGGGCCTACCCCTCCTCACCTCTCTTAACCCTACATGTCACAGGGCCCGGCAGCCTGGCCCACAGCCTGACCCGGCGCGCCCTTCCCCCACCCCTCAGGGAACCACAGGCCCACAGGACCGGCCTTTGGGAGGGGCCGTCACCCACCCGCAAGAACACGCGTAAAGAAAAGCCGGGGCCTCTGCGCCGGAAGGACACACCACCGCCCACCCGGCTGCATGCATGCGAGCCTTCTGATGCGGACTCGGGGGCTGGGGCGCTGCCCGCGGCCGCCCCTCGGTTCACAGCCAACAGGGGTGCAGGCCGCCGGCTGCCGGGCGCCTCACTCATTGTGTTTGCCGGTTTTAGACGTGGAGCGAGGAGCGCCTCTTCAGCCCCTGCAAAGCCTGTAAACTGCCTCTGGTTCTGCCGCTGTGTCGGACGCGGGAGAGCCTAGCCAGGGAACCCGGAGCCTCACCAGGCTGCGGCACTGGTAGACCCACAGGCTGTACTCCTCGTTGCTCGCGTCGGTGGTCTTCAGGGCCAGCAGGCTCCGGCCGGCGCCGAGGCCGTCGTCGTAGCACACCATGCGGATGATCAGGCACAGCGCGTGCCTGTGCAGGACGTCCTGCAGGGGGCAGGGCAGAGACAGACCGCCGCTTCACGCGGTGCTCCGTCCTTGGTAACACTCTCCCCGTGCCAAACGTACTTCGAGGCTGGAACCGCACATCCGCAGATGGGGAGAAAGTCGTTCTACAGGTTTTTCAACCCAAAAGGGCATTCCAGGATGCTAGGCTATGGGGCAGTGTGCCTCCGGGATTACACCTGGCTCCTTAAATTCCAGAAAGACGGGTATGATGACCGAAGTCCACAACCCAGTTCTCCACGCCCGGCTCCCAGCTGACAGCTGCTCTGAACCAGCCTGGGGCCCTAAGGCGAAAGGCACTGTGGGCCCCCCACAGGGTGCTGGCCTGGGCCCCGCCACACAGGAGAAGCCAAGGGGAGCTCCGCTCCTCACCGCTAAGAACTGGGCGGCCGTGACGGCCAGCTGCCAGGAGCGTTCGCAAACCCACCGCTCGGCGCACAGGAGCAGGCCCTAACCTCCCCAGTACCTGAAGCACAGTGGTGCCTTAGTAAATTACTTACATACTGATCCGATGACGATACTTTTATACCATACTTGGAAACTCCCATAATAAATTCTTCCTCCATAGGAACAAAGGGCAACTTTCCATCTTGCTTTAAGGTAGAAAGAAATTATACGGCACACATTAATAATTGTTCCATTAAGTGTGATTAGTCAGTTTCAAGACCTGGCTATCATACCCCAAACTCTTTAAAGCATGTGGCACACACAGCAGCCCAGCAAGAATTCTCCAAAGCAGCAGAAAAACCTCTCCCCCCCGTTTTTTCAGTCAACATATCTGAGCAAAATTCAGATCAGTGCACCCCAGGTACATTGTTCTGTCCCTTTGTCTGGGGTAAACCCTCATCACAAACTCATACTTCTCACAGGTCCCAGTAAGGTTTAAATATTTACATTTGATAAATAAAGGTCTTTAAATACTCAAAGCTCATACTAATATCAGCCCGTGATCAGGAGGCACGGCCACCAGCACCACGTTCCTCAGCCACTCATGCCGTGCCTGGGGGGAGGTGTCTGTTACCCCCACGCCCAGGGCTTTGGGCAGGTAGGCCCTGCCTGATGGCTGGTGACTGGGATCTCCAACAGGTCAGTTAGCTTTCTGAGCTATTCAGGAACAGAACAGCAGATAAACCAGACGGTTTCCCTAGACAACTATCCAGTTCTCTCTCAGTCAGAACACTGCCTGGCTTGTCTTCTCTAAAATAAGGTCCTGTTGGTAATCAGTGCATGTTCCAGAACATAAATGTTTTTGTGGTACCATTCGCCTACATTAGAGATTGTGGGCCTTGGCTGGAATGGCTCAGTGGATTGAGCGCTGGCCTGCACACCAAAGGGTTGCCGGTTCGATTCCCAGTCACAGCACAGGCCTGGGTTGTGGTCCAGGTCCCCAGTAGGGGGCACGCGAGAGACACACACACTGATGTTTCTTTCCCTCCTTCCCTTCCCCTTTCTCTAAAAATAAATAAATAAAGTCTTCAGAAAACAAAAAGAGATTGTGGTAAGTGAGCTATAACCACCTACGTTAACACCGGGGCGCTCACAATGCCACGGACACCTCCCGCCCATCATCTCTCCCAGCAGGCTTACGGCAACTCCGGGATCAACACACAGGATAACAGTGATGCTGCTGTCAGTAACTTTGACAAGCCCACTTTCTCTGGTGATAGGGGACACGCAGCAGTCCTTACTGGAAAATAATCCTAGCGTAATTTGGGGGGAAACATGAGCACTCTTTCAGTATATTACTTAGATTAGTTGCTGTTTGCACGCTGTTGGATGACTTTATATTCCAAACGACACCTGGGATACAGATCGTGTTAGTCTTGACTAGCCAGGGTTCTCTCTTGAGTGACAGATGAGGTGGCTGCTGTCTTCATGCAGGTAAGACTTCCTCTCATGAGGCTAGGGAACATTTCATGATCCCATTCGTCATGATCCCAGACAGCGCACCTTCCTAAGCGTGACCAACCCCAGAAAGGGACAAGGGGCTCTGTGTTAATGAACAGGAGACACGCAATTTCACTTTCTATCTTCCTGACCTCCATTCTTGTTGGAAACAGTATGAATAAACAGGTCCGTTAGGTCAACACCACTATGAATTATGAGAAGAGCTAAAACGAGTTCAGGGGAGACAAAGTAAGGTTTGATGGACTGTTCTAAACATAAACCGATCATGTGTAACCAGTCACCTCGTTTAAATTAGCTCCTCATTTAACCAACGCGGGCAGCCCACCCCAGAAAAAGTAGACAGTGCCGTTGGTAGGAAGGAGCTGTGTCTGCTTCCACATGACTCAGTCTGCACCCAGCGCCCTGTACCGCCTACGACCGGCCACAGGCACAGTCACCTTTCAGCCACCACCTGGACAAACAAGGTCTTTCTCCCAAGCCATGGGTGTACTCTCTAGAATCTTATAAAACTGTTTTTTTGTCTTTTTTACCTGTGCAACATCTATATAATTGATCAGGTCTAGTGGCCCTTCAAGGCTTTTGCCTTCAGAGACTTTCAGCTTCTCAATGGCACCGACATATTTTATTCGAAATTCTGCACAGGTGTCTGAGGCGCTGTTGCTTTGTCCTGAAAAGAAACAGCTGTGTTACAGGGCATCCTCGATCCCTTCCCAAAGAAGAAAGAGACTAACAAAAATAAAACTTCCTCACATACAAAAAAGGCAGAGGAGAGAGAGAGAACCCAAATGCACAAGAACTCAGGCCCCGCTGGTAAAACTACCCGAACCTCAGGCGATGAACGATCCACCCTTCTGGGTACCTGAGCTTTTGGTGGAGTCTGTGTCGAGGCTGGCAACAGTGCTGGATCGAGAGAGGCCCCCGAGGCTAGAGTCTACAGACTGAGAACACAAACACACATAATTTAAGTATTTAAACAGACTGACTGGAAGCACCGTCTTCTCTCCGGTGCTCTAAGAAACATTCAAATTACTTAATTATAGTTGAATCCACACGTAATCCCAACTGCTCTTTCCATAACACAGTCCTGAATAAATGTGGCATCAGCCCCGCCGAGCTGAATCAAAGGCAGTACTCTGTCTCCTTACAGGACACCTTACACTTGTATCGTCTGTGAAAATCTATCCCTTGCTTTCCCGTTATCTCCACTGAACCCACAAAGAACCCTCTGCAGAAAGCAGGCGGGAGCAGTACCCTGTTTAGTAAGTGAGCAGAGACCCAGAGAGGCAAAGTGATTTACCCAAGGTTACATCTAGTGAACATCAGGCCTCCGGCCGAGGGGGGTGCTCCTGACGCCCACCCTGAGCTGCCGCAAGTCTGGCAGCACAGTTAACACACAGGCTAGCAGGCCAGACCGCAACCATCGATGCGGACCGCGCAGAAAAGGTAACCAAAACTAATGAGCAAAATGCAAAGCATCATACACGTTCGTGTAGAATTAGTTAGGCATACACCACCACACTCCTGGGAATTCCAGCCCCGTAATTGCACGCAATTTCTATCACATAAAGAATTTAAAAATCGGTGTGTGTTTCGAGGAGACCACTTACAGGTCCAGCCCCATCCTTAAGACTTTCAGAAAACCCACCAAGACAATAAAGTTAAATCAAGCACAGAATGTGTCTCTAGGGCAAAAAAGGAATGTTAAAACACACCTAGTTTGAAGACCATCAGCAGGTCTGCCATGGTTAGTATCCTCATGCAACATCAGAAGAAACAAAATTCTCACTGCTGGCAATTCCGTCCCCCTACCTTGCTCTTCGTACTGATTTCACTGCTTTGGGAACTGCTACTACTGTGTCGTTTTTTGCCTTTCCGAAACATTTTGCACTGTAGCTTGATCCAGAGGAGCTCCCCTAGAAAAACAAAGGTTTAGTTACACCAAGGAAAACAACTTTAAATCCTTTCATGCCTAACAGGAATAAAAATCAATTCCTTCCAGTTAGTTCCATGGTGCATTCCTCTGACTTAAAATGTATTTTTCCTTCGACCATAAAATTTGGATACTCTTCTTTTCTTTTTCATTATTTGCCTTTAAATTCTAACACACTAACCCCTAGAGTCAAAAAGGGCAGAAACCTTGTCATACCCAGAGGTGAGAAAAGCACTGTTGTCAAAGGTAACAGACGCGTCCGTTAGTTCTCGAAACATTACTTCTCTTTAATTAAGTCAAGATACTATTTCAGTTATTGTCTCGGGTTCACGCTCTGACAATGGCAGGGCCTGAACAGCAGACACCGTGCTGGGTGCCATACCCGCCTTTGACCTTCAAGGCTGCTGTGTCGCAGCTCCATTCGAAGGAGGCCGCCAGAGCTGCCCGCCAGTCATCAGATTAGTGATGGGTGGCGCCACGTCTGGAGCCGCGGCTGACCCGGCTCCGAAGCTCTTTGCGGAGCCCCCCTCCCCCGCTTCCCACGAGTTCTCGCCGTGGCGCCGTGCTGCCACGTGCAGGTGCCCCGGGCGGCAGCAAACCGGACAGAAACAGCCCTGCCCCAAAGCGGTGGAGAAACCACCGAGGGCCAGCACAGAAAGCCAGAGCTCCTCACCGCCCTACAGAGCAGGGTCGGACCCGGGAGGCAGCCCCCGGCGCGCCCACGCCCGTAGCCCTTCCGACGCGACCCGCCCTCGCACGGTACCGTTGTCCCGGGGACCGCAGTCCTCACCCAGGCAGGCATCGGCCACCCAGGGCCCCGCAGGCCCCGCTGCCCATCACGCGCCGCCTCGGAGCCGGGGTTCCCGACCCAGGGAGGGCGGGTCCCCGTGGAGACCGCGGCCGCCGCGGCCCCACCCATCCGCCCCACCGCGGGCCCCCCGGTCGGCGCCCCCTCGGGGACCGCGTTCTCGACCAGGCTCAGCCCGGGCGCGGCGCGGGCCGGGCCCTCACCTCACAGCCGCCAGCCCATCCCTGGGGTCTTCTGCGGGTCACGCACCCACCGCCTAGCGGCCCGCGCCAGGGCAGCCACTCCCGTTCTAATTCCAGCGCCAGCTTTTCCGGCCCCCTGCCCCGCCCGCGGGTCCGCCTCCGAGATTTAGCGCAGGCGCACTCCTGACCCCGCCCCTGGTTAAGGACCGCTATTCGGGAGGAACCTCCCAGGCCAGGTCTCCGACCGGAAGTCGAGGGGAGGAGCGTAGCGTCGCGGGCGCCGGATCGCCGGAAGTCGTGCTGTTGGTGAATGGGGTTCTTCCCTCGTTGGTTCCCAGTGGCTATGCTTCCGATTTAAAAAGGCTCCCGCGACCTGTTCCTCACCCCGGCTTCGCCTTCAGACTTCCAGGATGTCTGTGATTCCTGCGGAAGAGAGTGACCAACTGCTGATCCGACCCCTGTAAGGGACCGGCGAAGGGGGAACGAAGCCACGGGCTGGGAGAGGCGGGAGGCTTGACTGGAGCCGGCCGCCGCGGTCGCCACCCACTCGAGCGTGCCTCGGGCAGCCTGCCCGTGAGCCGCGGTGCTGACGGGGTTCGGAGAGCTGTTGTTCGGCAGGGGCCTGCTCGGTTGAATGGGATTTTGCTTTTTATTCAGTGTAAGGGAAGAGCGTGTTGGAATTGAGGGGGGAGGCCCGTGGGGACGCTGGGAGCTTTCTTACACACCAGCGAGTGGCAAACGCTGCGGGAGCTGGTGATGCCGAGGCTGCAGGACGAGATGAGGACCTGGCTAAGGCTGCGGCGGTGCGGGAAAGAACTAAACCTGTTCCCCATTACCTCCAACACTTGACGTTTGCGAAAGTATGAAACAGGAAATAAATTAGGGCTTTTTAGGAGTTTCGTTCTGAGCGCAAACCCTAAGGGAGGTAGAAGGTTGGAGAAGAGGAAAGCAGAGGTGCTGAGGACAAACACTCAGCTCCTGATTGTCACCGAGAAGACTGGCCTTTGGGCGGGGGTGGCCTTCTACCAGAGAAGCGCTTCGCAGATCTGGCTGCTGCCTAGGCAGGGAAGGGCGAGTGTGGAGAACTTCTGTAAGCGAGCGATTCGAATCCACACGCATGCTTATTGTGAGGTGTTAGCACAACATGGATGCATGCATTTTCCCAAAGGTTGACAGTATCTACTTCACACAGTTAATCAGTAAGGACTTGTTGAGCGGCTACTGGGGAAATAATACACGCTGCACACTGTTTAGTTCACACCTGTCAGCCCCTTGTGTGTCCAGCACCGCCAGCTGTCAAGCACCACGCTGGGCCCTGGGGATACAAACGAAAGAGAGGACCAGGTTCATTGAACTCACCCTTTTGGAGGGAATTGCCGTGCAAAGTGAAAAAGTAGCGGAGGGATTGTTTGGAATAATAGGAGACCATTACTTTAGAGTCAGACCTGAAATCCAGTCCCTGCTCTATCCCTTGCTACCTCAACACCCTCACTGAACCTGTTTCCTCGCGTGGAAATAATATAGCAACTGTTACTGGGAGAGTAAAGGGTTACCACTATTATAACTACAGGTAGGTGTCTCACCAAGTGCCGTGAGGTCATGGAAAAGGGATTTCTAGCAGGCTGAGAAGAGATCTCTCTCATGCATCCTGGAACATATGCATGAGCTGAGCCTTAAAGAAAGAGTAGGAATTGAAGACAGATAAACTAGGGGGGCAAGGATGTTCCAGCCAGAGGAAGGGGCACGTGTGAAAACGAGAGTGGTCGCAGTTGGGGGGCCACTTTCCTCATGGCTGTGGCTGAAAGATCACCGGGTAAGACGGAGGAGGCCCATCCTATGAAGGACCTTGTAAACACACTCAGTTTGGGCTTTTATCATCGGTTACAGGGAACCAACAAAGGATTTTAAGCGGGGAGGGGACAGAGTGGGAATTAAGCACTGGAAAGATGGACGATTTCTCCTAGCAGCCCTGTAGCAGATGAATAAAAGGGTGGGCTAAGTGGGGGGAATCTGGCATGTACGAGAAACAATCCCAGTGATTAAGCTCTAATCTAGTCTTAAGCTCTAAGCTGTAAGAGCTTGGAGCGAATGAAGAGCGATGAGTTGAAGAGAGAAATAGGTTTCAGAAGGAAGTGAGCTCTTTAGAACTTTGGAGCTGATCAGATGTGCTGGATGGGGCCGTTGTGGGGCAGAAAGGGAGCGGAGAAGAGTGTGCAGGCGGCTTGGACTAGCGGCTGCCTGGCCGTGTCATTCGCCCTGGGAAACAGCGCTCTCGAGACATAATTCACATACAGCTCACTCCTTTAAAGTGCGCAATTCAATGATTTGTATTATATTCACAGAGTTCTACAACCATCTAATTCCAGAACATTCTCATCATTCGAGAAAGAAACGCTGTACCCCATAGCAGTCATATTATTGGCCCCCCAACTTCCCAAGCCCTGGGCAACCACGAATCCTAACTTTTCTGTCTCTGCAGGTTTGCCTATTCTTGACATTTCATGTCAATAGGATTGTTTATGTGTAACCTTTTGTGACTGGCCTCTTTCACGTAGCATAATGTTTCCAAGGTTCAAAATTTGGGAGTTGTTACTCATTCAGTAAGTATTTCTTAAAGGTTTACTGTGCATTAGGCACTACAGCTGTACAGTGGTGAACGAAATAGTGTCTCTTACTTTACTAGAAGTTACTCATGAGCAGATAATTTCATGTAGTTATGATGACATGGTGTCAAGAGTAAATGAGAGGAGGTAGTTAAGAGAAGGGCTCTCAGAAGGTGTCGTTTGGACTGAGACCCAGATGACACGGGGGAGCCGTCCATGGCAATACCTGCGGGCAGGGCATTCAGAAGAAAGGGAGGGAGCCCAAGGGGCTGCGGGGGGGCCTGGTCGGGCGTGTCTGAATACAGGGCGCCCGTGAGCCGCCCCAGGAGGGCTGCTGGACGCCAGCTGGGCTTCAGAGGTCCGGGCGTCAGCAGCAGCGTGTCAGATCCTCGGGAGTGGAGGCCCGGGAGGACGTGGCGGGGTCAGCCGTTGATGTGAGGGCAGCGGCGGCCGAGCCTGAGGAGGCGGGGCCGGCGGGCCTGAGAGCGGCAGAGGCGCCAGGTGCAGGACAAGTGCGGCGAGGACTGAAGGTGGCTGTCTGCACTTAGCAACACAGAGCTGCTCCGCAAGGGCGGCTTCAGAAGTGTCTGCCAGAAGCCAGGTGGGACTTGAGTGGAGGAGAGGAAATAGAGGCAGGTTATATGCTCTTCTTAAGATGCGGGCTGGGGAAGAAAGAAAGTAGGAACTAAAGGAGACCGGAACTAAGGGACTTGAATTTTGGAGGAAGAACGGCTATAGCGTGTTGGAATTGTGACGGTGACGTGGGCGGTAAGGGAAACGATGCTCTAGCAGTGTTCGTCCCTGCGCGGGGAGTGTGCAGAGTGGGGAACCGTGGGGAAAAGGTCGGCCTTAGCCAGGAAGGGGGCCTGTTCTGTTTTCCCGCGGAAATGGAAGGAGACAGAGACAGGGTGTGGTGAGGGTGAGGAGGCCGACAGAGGTACTTCCGATGCGAGAGAACCTGTGCCTGGAGAGAAGAGGGAAGAGGGTGCGGAAAGGGAGGAGGGAGAGTGTACAGTCGCTCTGGACCCTGTGGGGGAAAGCTGAGCCGGGGACACCGAAAGAGGCCACACAGAGGGCCAAAGGCAAAGGCCAGAAGCTCGTGGTAGCTTCGCGGGGGCTTGACTGGATGGCATCCTGCTCTGAGGCGGGACCTCGGTCTTGGGACAGATCCGTCTCCTAGCACGTGGGCTCTGAGGTCCCTGAGGGCAGGGTGCCAGCATTTCCACGTGCTGGGCGCTTCATACAGCGCTTGGCAAATAGAAGCTGCTCACTCAGTGTTCAGCAAGTGAGTAAATCATGACCTGAAATGGTTGGGAAAAGGCATCAAAGAAGGTGAGGGTTTTGAAAGCCAGGTGAGGTTTAAGCTTAAAGTGTGTCTTGTCATCATTGGAAATTAAGGCTATTTTATTAATTTAAAAAGAAAGGAAAACTCAGTGCTTGGTATCAAATCTACTGAAATAGCAAGGCAAAAGGAAAGGGACTGAGGTTCACAGGTATAAGAAGTTATTCAATTTAACTTATTTTGGAAATGCATATTATGATCTTAAAGCGAAAGAATTTGGAAGTGCTTATAAGTTTACATTTAAGCGCTGATCCTAGAAGTCTCATCCGGCGAGCCGCGTCACGGCTGCCTTGCACTCTGAGCGCACGGCACGGAGTCCCGGGCTCGGGGGAAGGCGGCCTCGGGGCTCCGCGGGTCTGTGCCGCCTTCTCTGGCAGCTGGGACGGCCACAGCTGCCCCGCCCCGCCCCGGCGCTGCGTCCCTGTCTCAGTGACTGTGACCGCCTTCTGAGGGCTGCCCTCCGACGGGGCGTAGCGTGAGCTGTGAAAGGTTTGACCTCACCGGCCTTGATTTTGATCGTTTTTATTTCTCCCCGTGAATGTTCACAGTGGAGCTGGGCAGGAAGTCGGAAGATCATGCATCATTCTGGAGTTCAAAGGAAGAAAAATAATGGTAATTATCATTCTGGAGTCTGCTTAACAGCATGGCTCTGTCTACGGTGGGCGTGGGGCCTTTCTACCATAGTAGTTATCTGTTTAGTTCGCAGAAGAATGCCTCAGTCGGGGTATGTATAGCCCGTGCTGTAAAATGTTAATGTGAAACACTAACACATACCTCTGTTTAGTAATTTGATAAAACATGAATGAGAAAATATATATTCTGACATGTAAAATTGTCAACCAGGTCTCCTGAACGGTTGCTTCTGCAAAGTCCTCTTCCACCCGCCGAGGGTCTGGCCACGCTGACTGCCCCACGCCCAGTGGGCGACCCCAGGGAACCCACGCAGCCGGGGGCGCAGAGCCTGGTTTGGCAGCCTCTATACGTCCGTCACCATTAAGACCACTAGCCTCGGGCAGGGTGACCTGCTTCTCTAACCCCATTTTCTTACATGACGGAGGAGTCAGAAGAAAGGGTTCCCATGGTCCTCAGTAGAAAGACAGTTCAGCCCTGGCTGGTGTGGCTCAGTGGGTTGAGCACCGGACTGTGAACCAAAAGGTCGGGGGTTCAAGTCCCAGTCAGGGCGCAGGCCTGGGTTGCGGGCCAAGAGGCA